TATATTTTATCCTATAGGGCATGTTGTGATCTGTGGGGGAAACCGGAGTACCCGGAGAAAACCCACGCATGCATGGGGAGAACACGCAACTCCACGCAGAAAGGCCGCAGCAGAGTTTCGAACCTGCGACAAACGTGTTGCGAGGCATCAGTGCTAACCACGGCACCACCATGCAGCCCATGCAGTAGCTTCAGACGGCAGGATTCTTATTTCCTGACGTTTGGACATCTCGCCACGGATTGGCTAACAGCAACGCAACTCTACGCTGGTACCACTGACACAGTTTGCTCTGCAATGTTGATATTTTAACTCCACAACTAACACTAGTCTGGAGTTGTTCTGCTGTGGGAGCCAACATATGAAATTCTTGGAGATATCTGAAACCTGAAACCTTCTCAGTGGCCTAGTGGTGCAGATCATGGTTCAAATCTCAGTTGGGCCATACCAAAGACTTTAAAAATGGAATCCAATGTCCCTGCTTGACACTCGGCTTTAATGGGTTGAATTGAGTGTTTAAACCACCAAATAATTCCCGAGCACCGCCACAGCTGCAGCTTACCGCTCCCCATGGGGATGGGTCAAATGCAAAGATGTAATTCACTATTGTGTGATCACGACTATGGGACCTAAACTTTAACATCAAAAGCTTGAGAACCCTTGATAAAAGGCACCAGGCTATTTGTAAAGAGCTCAAACAATATATCAGATACCAAAAGATGTTAAGACACTTTCACACTCTGTGTAGTGTTTTGTAATCTGTCTACTATTTTGTAGACTTTGTAAAATTTCCAAACAGGAGAAGCACTTTCTACTGAAACCTTAAAATGTCTTCCTAAGGACGTTTACCTTGGACTGCTCCTGGCTGCTTTGCCTCCTGCTGTGAGAGAACCAGGATCTGATCGCATCTGCTCTGGTTACCAAAGGTCCAATGTTCTTTATTTGTATTTGCAAATTTAACATACAGTCCAGGAAAATTGGAATTCTGGTGCACAAATGGTTAATTAGATCCTCTATGAATAAAATAAAATAAGAACAATTAAGGGGAAAATAATAAATGAACAGTTAAAGAAAAGAGGGAAAAGTTGCTCTTACAGCTTTTACATTTTTTATTGCCCATAATGTTGAAAACATGTTTGCATTTTTTAAAACCACATCTATAACATGTTTTAATTTATTGTAACAAGGTTTATTATAACAGCCAATACGGTAAAACTCCACCGATGAAACACTTTCTTCCTGAAAGTAAAATGAATACTATCTGATATATATATATATATATATATATATATATATATATATATATATATATATATATATATATATATATATATATATATATATACCTGCAGGCTAGGTATTTAAAGATCTTCAAACTTATAATCTGATAATTCATGAAACATTTTGGGCATTTTTTATTTTTTATATTTTTTAAGTGATGCTTTAGTTCCCAGTTTTCTGAAAAAATGTGTGTTTCAGGCCTTTGTCTCATAGTAATGTAGATGTTTAAAAGAGGATGGGGTCGTGACTGTTCATGAACTACTTCATAGTGGATGTGGTTTGTTACTGTTAGTGTTATTCTGGTTTTTTCTCAGCTAACATTACTACTCTACTCAAAATGCTACAAAAGGCTCCAGCTCTAAATTATTCTGATTTTTCTCCATATATTCCATGCTATCGTTATTTGTTAAAACACAGAAACAATTTCGTTACCTGTTTTCCCGCTACGTTTCGTTTGCAGCTGCAAACTTCCTCAGGCTGACGCTGATGGTGGCGTCACTTCCTTCTCCGTTTATCCGCGGGCAGCAGAGGACGTTGTCGCCCTCTGCTGCCCGCTCTCCCCTCTCCGACGATGCAGTCCCATGCGCGATCCAACGTGTAAACTCCATCGCCCCGTTCATTGTCCCACATCCACGTCTCCTTATCTCGATTGCTTCTTTAATCCATCTTTTGTATTTTTGTTGTTCGGTGTTTATGATCCTTGTGTTGTCCCAGTCCATTATATGGTTTTCTCCTATGCAGTGATCTGTTACGGCTGACTTGTTTATTGTGCTTTCTGCTTCTTCTTTTGCTGCTCTTGTGTATCTTCGACTTGTTTCTTTCTCGCACTTCTTTCTATGTTCTATTGTTCGTGTGTTGAGTTGGCGTCCGGTTTCTCCTATGTATGTTTTATTGCAGAGTTTGCATGGGATTTTGTAAATGACTCCACATTTAAGTCCAGCTGGTATTTTGTCTTTTGGGTGTACTAGTCTGTTTCTAACTGTTGTGTATGGTTTTGTTGGTGTGTTTATGTTGTGTTTTTTCATCGTTGCTCTTATTTTTTCTGTTATGCCTCTGATGTATGGTAGGGTTATCACTGGTTTTGGTTCTTGTCTTTCTGTGTTTCTGGTTCTTTGCTGAGGTTGTTCTTTTCTTTCTGTTTTTGTTTGCCGTTTTCCTTTGTTTATTGCCCATGTCGGGTATCCGCAGGTCTTTAAAGCGTGTTGTATGTGTTTGTCCTCTTGTTTACGGTCTCTTTCTCCTGTTATTATGTTTGCTTGGTGATATAATGTTCTGATTACTGACACTTTGTGTATGGTGGGGTGTTCTGATGTCCATAATAGATATTGGTCTGTGTGTGTTGGTTTTCTATATGTGTTTATGTTTTGGGTCCCGTCGGTCTGCCTGGTTATTTTCATATCCATAAATGCTATGCTGCCTTCTGTTTCTGACTCATGCGTGAATTTTATGCTGCCCGTGTCATCAATGTTATTTAAGTGTTGTGTTAGTGTTTCTGTTTGTCCTTTTGGTATGATTTCCAGTATGTCGCCCACGTAGCATTTCCATAGTTTTATTTTGCAGTTTGGGGGGGGGGGGGGGGGGGGGCAGTGGCTATGGCTTTTTGTTCTAGGTCCTCCATGAAAAACTCGCACAGGGTGGCTGATAACGGATTACCCATGGCGAAGCCTTCCAGTTGTTTGTATATTGTGTTGTCGTATGTGAAGTAAGTGGAGTAAGCTACCAGTCCTATCAGTTGTGCTATGTCGTCTGCTGTGAGGTTTGTTCTTTTGTGTAAAGTCTTGTCCTGTCTGATTCTGTTAACTACCATGTTTATGGTTGTTTGGGTTGGTGTTTTTGTGAACAGGGATGTGACGTCGTGTGAGATGAGTATGTCGTTGTCTTCTATTGTAATCTCCTTTAGTTCTTTTGCCAGTTCTATGCTGTTTTTACAGTGTTGGTCTGTGTTACCTAATAACGGGCTGATGATTCTGCTGATATCTCTTGCCATGTTGTATGTTGGTGTGCCTATGCTGTCAACTATTGGTCTAAGTGGGGTGTTTTGTTTGTGTATTTTTGGCGTTCCATATATTCTTGGTGTTATGTTTGCCGTAGGAATCCAGTGTTTGTACATTGTCTCTGTTATTTTGTCGTAGCGAAAAAAACAGGTAACGAAACCATTTCTGTGTTTTAAAAAAGAACTATAACATGGAATTAGAAACAAGACACAGCAAGAACACACCTAAGATGTTTCTCCATATATGTTTGAGTTTGATTACTGAGCTCCTTTCTGAGCATGGTAACCCTGAAGAAAAGGTTTAGTCACCTGTATTTTAAACTTTCAGCTGTTACCCAAACCTCATGATCATAGGTGAGGTTTGGAACAAAGACTGACTGGTAAATAAAGAGCTTTGATTTCCCTCTTTACCACAACATACCAGATCTGTCTGGCCATCCTTCCCTCATCCAACAAGACCTTGAGATAAGCAAGGGGACATATATGCAAACTCACTTTTTGCATCCTTTTGTGCTGCCATGTAGGTCTCAAATGTGAAATAAATATTTTCATTCATTTTCTGTCAGGGTTTGATTTTAGGAATTGTTTACCTATGACAACCCATTTCAAAAAGACCCTGTTTGTGATGTCACAAACTGTTAAATTAGAAATGAATCACCTCTAACATGCAAGAGAGAGCTGCTGCTGGAGGAGCAGTGGATCTACTCCGATCCCCTTCTGACTATTCTTATGGGCCATTCCCATCTGTACCGGGTCGGCCCGGGCCGGGTAGCGTAGGTTGTTTACATATCTGGGTGGCCTGGTACTTCTGCGGGCCAACCAAGGCTCATTCTTAGCCCTCTTCTCGAGGGGGTCTGCTTCAGGTCGACCAGGGCCAACACACCCACTGCTGACAGCAAATTCACACCTTCCATTAGAGCAAGCCTCTGATTGGTGGGTAGAACCAGCCCACATGGGCTTAAGACAAGGATGTGTGGAATCAACCGGGCCAGGCTGGGGCCGACTGGGGCTACCCGGCATGTTCCCACCTTTTTTAAACAGCATTTTTTAAAGTGACAGAGCTTAAATGACTCATTCTGGAAGGCACTAAAAATGTCAAGACTAAAACTGCTGAACTTCATTTATGTGAGAGGGATTTAGTGCAAATAATTTCATGAACTTCACTGTATTGAATATAGAACAGTTTTTTTCCCATACTTCAGGTGAAGGCAGGTTTAAGGCTTCCGATTGCGTAAGTCACTATCATTCATACATTGACGTCATTATGATTTTCTGCCAACGCACAGATGTGCTGCCTTGCCCCAGGCACAGCAAACAGTTGCTCTGACAGTGTGATGATGCAACATGGTTTGTCTAATTTACAGAGGGTTCATTCTGGGATACATTAGAGTTAGAATACTGGACCGGGTTCTGTTTTTACTAACAGGAGACGTGAAAGAGAAACCGAAGTGAACTTTCTTGAATAAAGACATTTGGATTCCAGAGGGGAGTTTCCTCAGCTTTAGGTTCAACTATCAGCCATGCCAGTCCAAATGAGTTTCTCTCATAAATAGCTATAAACACGTTCTGGGGGGATTTCAAGCATGGACGCCTTATCTGTGGGTCGCCACTGTCCATTTCCTTCCTGTGTCGGAAAATAAGATAACTTCACTTTCTCTCACGAGGCAGTACTGTTTTCACGCGCGCCGTGCCCAACACGCATGATTAAAATATGCGCTCGTTGACGCACCGCTCACTGGAGCGAGACCGTCGGGATGGGCGGGTGAGCCACAGGGGTGTGTGTGTCTGATTTAAGTACAGTGAAACATTCCCGGGGTGACTTGGGTGTTCCGATCCAACAGCGGTGCAGAGCTGGACCAAAAGTTCCCCAAACTTTTCAAAACAGACAGAGGAAGTGTAGCAAACGCGAGAAAGGAAGAAGTTTCACCGCAGATCGGATCCGGAGAAGAATCCAAGCAGAGAAAAGTAAGCAACCCACTTTTTTTGTTTGTTCGTCTTAGCTGAACTTGAAGGAGAGCGCCTCCGCATTTCTCCTCAAAGTTATTACATCTGGCGGGTTTTATTAGAAAGCCCACACAGCTTTATTCTGTCCACCAATGACGGAATTCTCCTCGCTCTATTAGCTATGTCATCATAGCCGTTTATGATTTGTGTTCAACACATAATACACTATTTCATGTTTAAATCCACTTTTTTCCAGGATTATTTTTTATATTTAAAGCTCAGCATCTGCTTCTTTCAAGGAGTGCGTAAAAAACGTATATCTTGTCTTATATTATCTTATCAGATATAGATAAACTATTTGGAATTCTCGTAATCGTTTAATAGGAAAGGAAAACTGTCGAAACCATATCAAGCAAGCGGGCCTGGCCATTCCACCGACTTGAGTCTGCATGACCAACCCCTCTGCATGCCAACATGATGGCAGAGAAGAGCCGGTTGTCAGGGGCAGAGAGGGCACAGGGTAGAAGAAGTAATGATGAGCAGCGTGAGAAAAAAAAGGAACTCAATTTCAAGCTTGGTTGGTGCTTGTGTTATAGATTTATTTAAGTTGATGTTCTAAAGTGTGAAACTGCCTGAGAAGAGTATGTGTGTAAAGGCTGATTAATCAATTATATCCGAAATTTTTATTTCAGCTTGAAATGACCACAGAAAAAGTTAGTCTCTGTATATTTTTTTTGTAATAGGATTTATTTATGGATGCATGGGCGTGATTTTGACTTTAGAAGTGGGGATGACACAACCAGCATGAGGACAGGGGGATCACTACAGGAAGGGTACAAAAAATATGTATAAACCTACAGCGTAGAGGCCCTTTTATGACATGTCAGGAATGCAGAACTGTCAAGTACACAGGTGGCAGTAAAAAATACCTCTAATACTTTCAATTCAGCTTTGTTTCTCACCTTGTTAGAAATGCAAAATGAAGTACTTTATTGATGTGACTATATATTTACTCTGGTCACACGTGTCAAAATGGTAATATTTGATTGAAATTGATGTTTTTTCCTTGTCGTGCAATGTGAGTGCTAGACGGTTTAAAGAGTTAGGGTCACGTAAGCACCGTGAACGTATATTCTTAAAAGTCACAGCTGCTCAGCAAAAAAAAGTTCTTGAGTCTTTACACATGAAAATGACATGTGTAGAGGGCATGTCCCCCTGTCCCTCCCCTAAAAAAAACTGCGTCCGTGAATGTGTGTATTGCCAATTTCTGATAATTTGCTTTTTCAACATTAGACATTTGAGAACGAGTCGACAGAACTGCGATATGAATAGAGGCACGCAGCTCAGTAGCTGCCAGATGGATGTGCTGCGAACAGCTAATGTGTAGCTTTAGCCTGCTGTAAGGAACAGGTTACATTGTGATAAATATCGATATCGACTAATATGAAAGTTAATATCTTGAGAGGATCCTGATCACCCAGCCCTAGCCTTTTTGTCGTCTGTGGAGTAGGGCTGGGCGATACGGCCTAAAATCAATATCACAGTATATTGAAGATTTCACCTCAATAACGATAAATGGACGATAACTACATGTATGTGCAGAAACAAAAGTTGCCCACTAGATGGGGCTGCCACATGTAGTGGTACATCTTCTTAAAGGGACGTGAATGTTGCCGACATACACACCTTTTCATTTTGTTACTATCAAATTTATTCGCATGGGAAAAATTATCTCAATAAAAGTCAGACATTTCGATAACGATACATTTTTGATTTATTGCCCAGCCCTACTGTGGAGGTTTCACTGTGATAAATGTGATTTAGTCTTCATCATTTGCCCTCTCATAAGTTTTAACCTATATTGATGCATGCAGTCCCTTTGTAAACTCTGGATACATTCCCCAACATTTTTTTTTGTTATTGTGATTTTTTTTCTTTTTCACAAAATTCAACAGAAATGATTCTTTCTTAGCAGAAGATAATTATTCAGTACGGTCAATGTGTTGGTTAACCTATAAGTTCAATTATGCGTTCAGGAAGTGTGACTCAAGTTAGGGTGGCGCCCGTGTTGCATCATCATGAAGCGGCTTTGCCTCCTTTGTTTTTCTTTCTATGATTCTGGATGTTTCAGATGTTTCAGACAAGCTCAGATGTGAAAACCATCGAGGGAGGAGAAAAGTCATCAGACCGCCAGATGAACTCAGGAAGTCACAGATTGTTAACAGAAAATCACAAGTGTATACGGATCATTTCTTTTAGAAACACATGAGTCTCACACACACACACACACACACACACACACACACACACACACACACACACACACACACACACACACACACACACACACACACACACACACACACACACACTCTTCTGACACATGGATGTTATAGGGCCTTGAAACCATGAGGCACTGCTCCATATCATCTCACCAGCTGTTATTCGACCTTTGACCTCAGCCACATAACATTACCATCACTGCTATTTTCTCAAATTGATCTTTGAGCCTGTTTGACCCGCCCCTCTAGTCTAGTATTTACTTTAAAAAGCAATAAATCATTTAAGTTGAATGATTCACACACTTACAAATAATGGTCAATGGCCTGTATTTGTATAGCACCTTCTTAGGGTCCTACAGCCCCCCAAGGCGCCTCACAACACAATCAGTCATCCACTCACACACACACACACACATAGCTGTTTTGCATTAAGAGACATGAAACTGTAGATTAGGCACCAAAAAAGGCCTTTATGAGAAAGAGTGACTTTCATTGCAGACCTGGCTTGGAACTGTTTCTGTTCCAGAGGGACACAGCATGCAGATGAAACTCGAAAATTAAAATATGGCGCAAAAGTTCATTTATTTCAGTTATTCAGCTTAAAAGACTTGTGCAAAGCCAGGTTTTTCAGCCTTTGTTATAATTTTGCTGATTATGGCTTACAGTTTATGAAAACCCCACATTCAAAATCTCAGACTATTAGAATATTGTAAAACTGTTCAATATTCTACACTCAACTAATATCACTCAGCTAATGAATCAGCTAATGAATCTGAAACAACTGCAAAAGGTTCCTGAGCTTTTAGATGGTTTCTCAGTCTAAGTTGAATTGCTGACATAAATGGACTTTTGCACCAGATTCCAGTTTTTCAAGTTTCACCTGTATGTTCAAACGATCATTTACCACAACTCAAGTTGTGTTTTTTGTGGTAAATTTAACAAACCAATTACTTTAAGAATGAAGGTGTTTTAAAACTGCAGTCCTGGTTACTTTATTCTCTAAATGTTCAAATGTCAAAGCAGCAACATTAAGTGAATCAAGGCTTCATTATAACTCAGTTATGTCACCTTTTTCCTAAATGTACATTACTGAAACACATTAAAGTCCAAGTTCTCTGAGAAGCCAATTTTTACTTGTTAAATATGAGATATGACTGCTCACTCTGAGGCTGAATGTGAAAAGTCTTCTACCACTATTTCCTATTTAGCCGCCAATAGAAAATAGGTGGGAAATGCTCGGTGGTTGTTGATTTAGCGTTCAGGAGAGAGCAGAGAGCATCTCTCAGCTAGTAGAAGCTAACTGTTAGCCTTAGTAACTCGGCACAACATGGCAGAATTTCTTCAAGCTTATTTGAGTAAATAAAACATCAATGTTGCAGGGCGAACAGTCAGTGGTAGAGTCATGTTGTTTTTAGCCAATCAGAGGCAAGATGTCCAAATAGCAGGAAATAAAACTCCAAAAGTTCTGATTCCTGAAACAGGAACACGAGAGCTTTTCCCCCCGTAGATTGTTCAAATTAACAAGTGAACTTGGTCATTAAAGTTGGGAGCTTATTAATTAAGGCTTAATTTTATGCTTTAACGACGGAGTGTAGCTTTGATGTTAAAAGACACAGAAAATGCAGATTGTCCCTCGCTAACGTTTGAATGTTGACCCTGATCTGAAAAAAAAACTATATAACTCAAGGCGTGGCATAAAACTGAGATAAACATTTTTATACTTATGTACCCCTCTATAAGCAGCTCACACACACACACACACACACACACACACACACACACACACACACACACACACACACACACACACACACACACACACACACACACACACACACACACACACACACACACACAGCTGCAGCTGGGGTGGAGCAGATTGAGTCCAGCTGCATGTAGGAGTTAGCTCAGTATGGTTAACATCCCAGAATACTTTGGGAATGTCTGAAAGTCAGGTATGCGGTAATTATGGGAAAGAATTAAAAGCAGGATTTTTTTTATGATATGACGATAAGTCATGAAAGCCTGGGATATGTTTGAGTAATGGTGCACATCTCCCACACAACCTTCCCTAACAAATTTGTTGACATGCTTCAGCTGATTTTCCTGCACAAGTTTAATTAAATTTTTTTTACATAATAGTTCTGTAACAGCCATCCAAATGACATTTTATTTTATTTTACTTAAAAAAAAGTTCAGCTTCTTAAGACACGTTAATAACTATTTTTGTTTCTAATCAAAACTAATAAGCTAAGGGCTGAATTGTTAGTGGTGTGATTATTTTTAGCATAACTCCTTTATAAATCTAAATTAAATAAATGTATTGTAAAATGTATGCATGTATTGTAAAAACTATGCATATTTTATTTAAAATTATACAACTGTAATGGGTATAACCTGAAGACCCAGAAATTCAGCCAGAACACAGCAGTAAAACATTAAAGTTTTTTCTTTATTTAAAATGTGGGAGAATCAGGGAATCGCAGAAGATTCTGCTGACAGGAAAACTGGAGATGGAGCAGCATATGCTGCGATGACAGGGAGAGGGGGCGGGACTGTCTCAGTGCCAGCTATGGGAGCTCCTCTTCCATCTGTGGATTCAACTCCTCTCCTCAAAACGACACAGACAATTAGTACAGCCCACAGAAGTTCAGGTATCCAAAAATCCTAAGTCAGAGTGAGGTACAGGCAAGGTCATTCACAAACAGCAATACTTATCAGTGGGTTGAGCAGGGGTCCATGGGCGAGAGAATCCGCCGAGAGTCCCAACAGGCAGAATCCATGGACAGAAAACGTGGTCAAAAGTCAAAAGGATTGGTTGAAAATATTGCTGGAGTCTACTGCCACAAGGCTGCTGATAATCTGTCAGGGAGACAGACCCTGAGCTTTGCTTAAAAGGAGGAGCGCACAGGTGAAGCTCAGGCAGGGCTCAGGTGAACTAGGTGAAGCTGATTAACAGGAGGACTGGCAGAAAGGAAGAAACATACATGACAGGTATGGCAAAATAAGGTGGAATCATTACACAACAGTTAGAAAGAAATAAAATTGGCCCTTGCCAGCTGTAGATCCTCCACTAGAGGGCAGTAAACATGTATAAGCCTGGACATGAAAGCACAAATCCTCAAAATCCATCTGATGCTTTTAGGCCCTCGGTGGTTTAGTTTGTAACAACAAGGGTTGCAATCGTGTACACGTGCTCATTTAGATGTCAGGAATGTTTGTGAAACCTGTTCAGATTTTAGCCGTGAGTATTCTTAATGTGTCTTTCAGAATGCCAGGTGAGAGGTTGACACTGAGAAGCACATCTGAAATTGGGCGTTTCCCTGGTGCAGCCCCGCCCACTAGGGTGCAGGTCACCATTCACAACGAGAACGAGAAGCAGGAGGAGGGAGGCTGTCGCCGGTGGTTCAGGAAGATCTGTCCGTGCTGCTGTAAACGCAAAAACAGCACATCCTATGATGTCACAGATAAGGTAGAACTGACCAAAGTCCCAGCACCAACCCCAGAGCCTACCAAACCCAAACCTGAGAATGGAGAAAGGAAAGAGACTGAAGGTAATATGCCTGACTTTTAACCTCTGGTGCATCTATGTGGCACAGCGATTTGCACCCCTCTCTCATCAAACAAGTCTCACAGCAAAGGGTTGAACTTTTGTCTCCCAGGAGTGGAGCTGTCAGTCTGCTCCGTGGACCTCCTAAGCTCTGGATTGGGTCAGAATAGAGTGGAGCATCACACGGATCAGTTTCATGGGGATGAGCTGATCATCCGCCGTGGACAGACCTTCCAGATCGAGATAGAGCTCAGCCGGCCTTTCAGTGCTGAAACTGACAAGATGCACCTGGAGTTGAAAACAGGTAATGCAAAAACCCCAAAACTGATATATAAATATAAAAAAAACGTAATTTAAGGCAAAAGAATAAAAATAGTTTGAACAAAATTTGAATGCCTAATTTTTAAAAAATAGCAACATTAGCTAATCATGTGAAATCGCTTCCTAAAATGCATATTAGATGCGTGTCAGTGCATAATACATTTATATCATTGATGCAATATCACTCAACCTCCACTTTATACTGCAAGATTCTGTGTTATCAGTTAGACTATGGGGTAGCAAATGATCTCTCAGCTAAACAACAAAATGTAGTTTCAACCATTTCTGATCGGCTCCATCTGGAGTAAAGTTGACTCCAAAAGTTAATCCGTCATACATTTATGTGTAATAATGACTTTCTGACATTTTCGTCTGCGTCCACGCTGAGCTGAGGTTCATGAGATATTTTACTAACCTTCAAACAACAAATGACTGACTTATGGCAACTTTTGAAACAATGACCCCATGCAAACAATTAGCATCCAAAGTATTTGTTGGGATAACACTCAGCTACAAACACCCAAAACTGTATCAAAGTGTATGTAAAACTAACTAAATCTTTGCCATTTTTGTGCTCGCTAAAGCTGAGTAGCTGTGGAGGCCATCTTGAAATGGTTTGACTCCAAAAGATCACCAGTTGGTGATGTCCACCCGGTCTTTGTTTTCCTTTGCTGTTCCTCAGATATTTTGCTAAGGAAAAACTTTCTCTCTTTCTGACACACACGCACACACACACACACACACACACGCACGCACGCACGCACGCACACACACACACACACACACACACACACACACACACACACACACACACACACACACACACACACACACACAAAAGCAGCAGGCGATCAGTATGCAGGCAGTGAAAGGACACCGTTTTTATGTGTGAAATCCTGTGCTGCACCACTTTGACCTACATTATGTGACATTGTACAAAATCTAAACCCTGACAGCACAAATGCAATGTTTAGCCCTCGAGTTTAGCTCTTGAATTCAAACTGAGCAGCAGTTCAACCGTAGCTGCCCCATGAGTCTTGGATTTCTCCCCACAGCCCTCAGTGTTAACAGCTTCCAGACCTCTGCTCACCTAACACCTCCCTCTGGTGTTTACCGACCTCATACCAGTACGCACTGGGGAGGGAAAAAAAGGCCATTATATCACTGTGCTGTAGTGATTTTCTGTCAGCCTCTCGTTAGATAGCAGCTGCATCTGCAGAGGAAATCTTTGTTGCTAGAATTTGTCTCGGCCCACATTTCTGCACTAGGAAGCTGAAGTTTCAACAATTCTCCACACAGACGACGTTCCTTCAGAAAAGATGCACAGTTTTCACCAGATTTCCTTTAGTGTACGTACTCAGAGGTAAGAGAGGAAGGTCAGGGCGTTTTTCCATGCAGTCAGATGGAGAACAATGCTTTTATGATAAACGTACTGCCCAGCTGGCAGCCATGACAGCTCCATGAAAAGCATCCAGCATGTTTTAAACAGCAGAACATTTAAAGAGACTCATTTAAGCCAGTTACACAAATATGTGTTTGGTTTTCTAAAAAGGGCAACTGTTGGAAGTTGTCCAAACTCACAAGTTTGTTTACTCTGAGAACTCGGGTCCAGCTGGGGGAGGCTGTGCTGCGTACGCAGTTTGCACTTTGATCTCATCTACTACCAGACTGACTCTTAGAGAAGAAACCAAGTTTTTTCTGTTTCCAAATAAAGAGATCGGCACGGATCTTCTCTGAAACAAACACGGCTATAACAAATCTGCACACAAATTCAAAAGAAGATGCGAAACAGCACCAGAAATGCAACAGTAAACACATTGTAAAACCTGCAGCTGATGCAAAAAGCGTACACCTTTTCTGTTGCAGGTTTCCTGCCCAAAGTGTCCAAAGGGACCCATGTTATCATTCCGCTGGTGGAGCACCTGGAGGATGAACGCTGGGAGGCCAAGATCACGGAGCAGAACGGCACTAAGATCAAGCTGTCTGTGAACTCTCCAGCCAACGCGGTTATCGGCCTGTATGGGCTCTCTGTGATCACCGGGTCCCTGAAGGACGAGGCTCCGACCACTCACAGCTCCAGCAAGAACATTGTCATGCTGTTCAACCCTTGGTGTGAAGGTGAGCAGGGGAACAGAGCAGAGGGCTTACATGCAGGGCAGGAATGTGGAGGAGAAGAAGGAATGAAACCATGGCTGATAGGAGGAGACAAATGAAAGAAAGTCAAGAAAGGGATTAATAATATCAGGGCTGAACTCATTATTCATAACAGGCAGATAATTCTTCACATTTTACTCTAAGCATAGCTGCATATGCTACAGAAATCCGTCTATTGGTCTGATAGCAAATTCTTGGAGAAAATGGATGTCTATTTAGACATCTAATCTTTTAAAGGAGGCTCGATATAATGTTACACATGGGTGAGAATCCAGGAGTGTGTTGCTGTCCATCAAGCAGCAGCAGCAGTGTGGCTGTGTAGCTATGTGAGTTATGTAAGTCCTCTGGCTTTGGCTCAAAACTTCATGGTGCACTTAGTCAGCCTGCTGAAGAGCCACTGCTCCTGGCTGCGTTCAGGATCGAACCAGTTTGTGCCTAAGATGGAATAGACCCTGAGCTGCCTCATTTCTCAAACATTCCCGCATCCCGTCACGCTCCCTAACCTGCTGGCGCTTTGAGGCCAGAATGCAGAACCACATTTAACATGAATGGATCTCATAGTCAACACTGGCACAGCTGTAGGATGTCAGAGGGGATGTTGAAGGGACTTTGGGGAGAGACTTTCAGCTAGTTTAAAACCCCTTTATATATTCTAATGGTGTCATTTTTGATTTGGGATAGTTGTTTAAATTTTTCTAGACAATTTCAACATTTTACCCATTTTTGCACAGGATCAAATCTTGATTCTAAAACTAAACAAACTCCTGAGTTTGTTGCACCTGCATGGCTTCACTTGAGTAAGCCGTCTGAGGCCTAGTCCACACGTAGCCGTTTTTTTTAAAAAACGAATATCTGCCCCTCCAAAAACTTGCATCCACACCACCTCGTTTAAAAAAATAAACTCTGTCCACACGTACCCGGATAAATACGTTGTTAAGGACATGCCAGACCTGTAGGCGGCAGTACTTCCCCCGTTCTTAACCTCGTCCTTCGTCTGTGGTCTTCCGCAAGGAGCAGTAATTCTGCTTGCAAAAACAAACAAGCAAAAAGCGCTTGGACATTAGATAAAGCGAGCGCAGCTCTGAGGGCATCCATGCTGTCGGCTAGTGTAAACACAGGTCGCACACGTGATGTCAGCATTTTTCTTGTCGCAGAAAGTGACGTTGCGGACCTTAAAACTCCGGTTTTGTCTGTCCACACGCAGACACCCAAAACGGAGAAAACGCAGATCTTCACTTTGGCCGGAGTTTTTAAAAAGATCCGTTTTCGTGTGAAAAAACTCCGTTTTCGTGTGGATGACAGGCCAAAGGGTAGAAAAATATCTACGTTTTAGCAGATCCCCGGCTACGTGTGGACAGGGCCTGAGTGTCAGAGACTTACTCACTTAGGGACTTCTACACATTACATACGAAACTGGAGCAATTAGAATATGTTGCAAAAGTCCATTTATTTCAGACTGCGAGACCATCTAAAGCCTCACAAACCCTTTGCAGGTCTTTTTGAATTAATTAGGCGATTAGAGTTACACTTTGCGTCTAGAATATTGAACCTTTTCACAATAATCTCATTGCTCGAGGTTTTGCAATGCTTTCATAAGTTGTAAGCCCTAATCATAACAAATTATATCAGTTTCACTTTTTAAGTTACTGAAATAATAAATGTTTGCTTCATAGTCTCTTGTTTCAAGATTCACCTGTATCTCTCATCCTTTTTTTAAATGTTTTTGCAGCATTCTCAAACCGGTGTTGTTCTGAGGCTTGTGTGACACATTTGTCTTCTTAGTAGAATAAAAAGTCTTTGTCCGGATTAAAAATCAGGGAGAAGTCAATGGAAATGGGGCCCGATTAACCAACTACTAAAGAGAAATAAGAGGACAGAATCCAGAATCACATTTTTATTGTAAGTTTGATCCTACGCACAGATGGGTAGCTGCACTGTAAACCCAAATAAGTTCCCAGAACTCAAAACTTTTGAGGCAATCAGTTGCCTCAGTTTTTTTTTTGAGTTTTGAAACAGAAAACTTGAAGTTTTCGTAAATTAAATTTCTTAATAAATTTACTCATACATTTTAAGTTTAATGAAATTAAAATTGCTCATCAAGGCAACTCAAAGTATTTTAGTTGACAATTCCAGGAGATCTGCTGAGCATCAGCACGCAAAAGCAAGAAGATTTTGACAGTTTATATGAGATGTTTGTGTTAAATGAATGGAAAACCCATGCTACAGCCTTTTGTTAAACCTAAAAAGGGATATAAGCCAACATGTAAATGTGAGGCACTTCTTCTTAAATCAGCTGTTTAACAGTGAACACGGTCAGTTTGTGTCAAACCAAAAATCAAGCTCAATTGATCATGGTCAGAACATTCTTCTTGGATGCAAGGAATTTTAAAAAGATATGGAGGACATCAGCACTGCTGATAAGTAATCTGAGTACAATCTGACACAATAATCCAGACATGAATGCTGCAGAATATTTAAAAATTCCTTTAGGTTATTTTTAAAAGCATGTCTTTTTTTCAGTACCACAGGGATAATTAATAAAGCAATAAATCACCATGACAACAAAATATGTCTGCAAACTATGACTTTACTGATAGAAACTCCTGGCCTCTTTGACATGAAGGACAAAGCTGAGCTTCTTTTCTCTTAATTCCATCTTAAATGAGCTCAGATGAGTCAGTCTTTCTGAATCTTGTTTGTTTTTTATGCAGAGGTAACTTACGTTTATGAATAAAACAATAAACTCCATTCTTCTTCAGCTGTTTGCAGAGGAGTGTCTGTGTCCATGCAGGAACCTCCACTACAGGATTATTTAAGGGCTTTTGTGCAGCTGCCTGAAGGCCTGAATATGAGAAATATGCAGGATTGATTTTCTAGCCTTTGGAGTGAATTTTCTTTTCTTCAAAATCTAATATTAATGCAGCAGATTTTAAATTCCTCACATTTGTTGGAAATACTCAGGAACCCTTCTATTTCTCTTTCCCACTAACAGCATCACTGCTAGTTAACTAAATGAAATATACCATTTAATAATGGTTCTTTAACCCCATGTATGCAAATATCTCAGTTCAGATTAAATCACTGTTGTTGTTTACTGAGTCTTGAGGCTTTTGAGGGATCATTAAAAAAAAGAAAGCTCTTGGATTTATGGTTTATCTGGCAGAGTTTGGCAAATCATCCACACAGGATATTTGACACAAATAACAGAACTTTGCAAATCAAAAAGCTGTTGACCTGGGTTTGATTTGAGGAAGAAAATAAAATACTGTCTGCTTCTCATTATGGATCTGCTGCTTTTGGCTGTGTGCCCATTTGCTTTTCCTCTCTCCCAATCTCTTCTTCCCAAAGCCGATCTTTCCCTCAGGGCCATAAAAGTCCAAATCTATCAATCACAGTATAAAACGCCGGGGGGCAAGTTCAGAGCAATCCTTGCATCTGGTGAAAACCTGTCCCTTCCCTGACCTTTACTGCCTCCATGTGTATTTCCTGCTTTTTTACGCCTCTCCCAGTCAGCCTTTTTGTTTTGTTTTTGCTCTCTGCTGACCCAAGCCTCACTCCGTGGCCTCATGGCTCCATTCCCAGGCCTCCTCCCTAAAATCATCATATACATTCCAGGAATTTTAAGTTTTAGGTGAAAAATGTGAATGGTCACAGATGCTGTTTGTTCACCTCCTCCGTTAATGCCTTTAGAAGTCTCGGCACACTGAGGTTTTCTTCACTCTTTCTCCTTCTTTATGCTCCCAACCAGAACCTGTCCTCTTTCTCCCAGCAGTGAGTTTTTTAGCTGTTTCTTCCCACTTGCTTTTTCTTGCGTCCATTTCAAAAACTGTCACTGCTTTTTAGTCAGGTTCCTCTCTTCCCACTCAGGGGTAATCGCGTTGGTGATAGCGACAGATAAGAGTGGAAAAAGAAACACGCATATATTTGTGAAGCAGCCCACACCCAAGTCTGCAGAGCTGAGTTATTTTCTCCTAACTGACTGTTTCCCATAAACGACCGAGGGCCCCACTGCAAGGTCCATGGAGTCATTGTGTTTCTCCAGCATTTCCTGACCTCGGGACTTGTTCACATGGAATGAAAGAAAAAAATCACATTCTTAAGCAGTTTTATCACTAGTGTAAAGCCTTGGGTTGTTTTATAACTGACTTTTATGGGTAAATTATCTAAAATTTAAAATAAAACACACCATCAAATTTTTATAAAATCAGAGATGTTTAAGAGTCCAATGCTGAAAAAATAAATTCATTTGTGAATGTGTTTTGTGGATTTCCAGAGGACACCGTGTTCATGGATGACGACGATCAGAGGAAGGAGTATGTGCTGAACGACACGGGGAGGATTTACTACGGAACAGAGAAGCAAATTGGTGCTCGCACGTGGAACTTTGGGCAGGTACAGACGGGACGCGGACGTTTCTGAGTGATTACTACATCACAGTCAGCCTGTGGCACTCCTCTACTCTGTTACAGCCGCTGCTTTTTACTACTGAAGAAGGTGATGATCTAAGCAGGTCCACACACTTCAGTTATAAAAAAGTACTTTGTAAATATTTAGGAATTTTCCACTCAGAAGCGCCATCTCCAAAAGACTGTAAGCCATGACTCATTATTAGGATGGTGAATCTGCTGTTTGCATAGATTAGAGGATTTCTAAAACATTTCAAGTGTGTTTCTGTGTAAAAATAACAAATAGTTACTATGCCACCCATTCTAGATCCCATCATTTATCTTACTGAATGGCTTTAGTTAAAGAAAGAAACAGATAAGGTAAGATACGGTGTTTGCATCGCTGTGGGATTCGCATTAAATTTTTTTTTCTGCAGAAACATACATTTATTTTTAAAGTTCTGCCAATATTGTGGTCAGTATTGAAAATCTCAATTATTTACCAAGATTTCTCATTTATTTCTCCTCTTCATACAAAAAAGTACCTCAGTGCAATGTGGTTTGTCCAAAAAGCTTCAAAGGGATGCTCGGATCAGTATTTTATCCTGTTCTGCCGTGGCGGTTTACGACCTTTATTCACTTTTCCATTCTTATATATTTATTTTGACTTAATAATATCAGAACTAGATGCTTTGTTCAAAACAGGTCTTTTCTCAAGAAAGATCAAGATTTTACATGCAGATGTTTGCTATGTATATAAAGCCTTTAGAATATCCACATATCACGTCCTCAGGAGACCGCACTTACCAGTTCCTGCCAGCAGGCGGCATGAAGGAGCTGTTGTAAAAACACGTTTTCATTAATAAAACAGAGAAAAGCTAAAGTAGAAACTTGGTTGTCCAACCAGTAAGAAAATACACACACATACATAAAAACACTGAAGAGCATGCCACAGATCTAGGGGTCATTTTTGAAAATAATAGAAGCATTTTTTTGTCCACATTCATGCTCTGAATTTTTAAAGTGACAATGTGTAGTTTTTACCATTAATCTCTGGAATATCCATCGAAATATTGCACAAAAATTACTTAAAAAGGACCAGTTGTTGAGAAATATTGGCAGTTTCATAACATATAAACATAAAAATCTGGTATAAAATACATGGAGCAGGTCGAAGTCACCGGGCGACGCCATATTGGATGCCATGTGTCCTTCTACGGAAGTCTGTGAGGACAAAATGCATTTACTGATTTGTAAAAAATGGTTACAAAACTTTCACCATTAATAAATATTGTTGCTTTACACATTTACCTCTTCACTCTTTGCAAGTGATGAAAGGGAATCTGATGTTCTTGTTGTTTTGCTGGAGGTTGCCTTGGCAGGGATTTTTGACCCTAATGGGCATCTGTTGGTCAGGTCTTATTTGAGCGCAAAAGTAATGCTTGCTTGCATTGATTAACTGCCCCTATCACCAGGGAAACTACACACTGTTACTTTAAAACACCACAAGACATTTGGGAGTTCAGCCCTTGGAAGTGGCAGAAGTGTGTATCATTTCAAAGGAAAGCAAAAATAATCTTACACTACATCAGACTAGTGTTTTACCTAGCGTTAGCAGGGGTAGGCTACTGTCACGAGCGGTTTTACATGTTCCCTTGCTCATGGGTGTAGTCTTTACTTTGGAAGTGTGTGTGTGTGTGTGTGTGGGTGGGGTGGGGGGGGGGGGCACACAACCAGCACGAGGGGGGTGGGTCTTTACAGTAAGTATACAAAACATATGTGTAAAACTACAGCCTAGAGGCTCTTCTGTGCCGAGTCAGGTGGCAGGAATGGCCAATCACATGTTAGCAAGTATCAGCAGAGCCAATGAGTGAGATTATGGACGGTTCTGATGGGAAACAGGCTTCAACACAAGCGGTTGTTTTCCGCTTGGGCCTAGTGCGTCACCAGTGTCTATTTAAAGAGCAAGTCACCCCCAAATAAACTTTTATTTGCTGATAAACTAAATAAATGAGTGTCTAATCATGCTGCAGACACGTGTAGTCAATAATTTGGCACTTCAGTGCATCTTAGTTCAAATTTAAATATTATGCCTAAAACTGGCAGTGTTGTGCCGTTGTCAGGTAAAAACTCTGCACTGTATTTGAATTTAAATCTGCCATCGCTATTGGCTAAGAGGTATGCTATGATGTAAACTGGTACCATATTATGTCACAATGCTGTCGTGAGCCTGCGTGTGTGTATTCGTTAGCGGCTCCGCCCTCTCGGTCTGCTAGGCAACAGCATTTGTTGCATTTTTCAAACAGGAAGTGGGAGTGGAGTAATTCTCTGGTAGGGGGTGACTTGCTCTTTAATATAACGTAATATAGTTTTTTGGATGGTAAAAAGTGCAGTGGACAAAAATTGACTTTGGAAAAAAAGGGTGTGAGTGTGTGTGTGTGTGTGGGGGGGCATGTCCTCTTAAACTCTGAATAAATGCTGTTCGGAGAGCTATCTGCAAATATTTCCAATTTGAAAAGAAACACACCTCAAAATGTCGATCGCATGCATGCAAGAAAAACTGCCACTGTGAGACATTACGTTCCTGCTGTAATCTGGACCGCGTTACCTTTATAAATCATTTCTACTAAATTTACTGGAACTCTTTCTCCCTTCTTCTTTGTTTTAATCATTTGTAACACTAATCCTGTTCCTTTGTAGTTTCATGAGGGAATCCTGGAAGCATGTCTGTTTGTCCTGGAGAAAAGTGACATGCCTCCATCTGGGCGAGGTGACCCCGTCAATGTGGTCAGAGTCATTTCTGCTATGGTGAGCCATAAAAACATATGCAAAAAGGGGGAAAAAATCACATTTAGAAAATAAAAATAAAAACCCTTACTGATCTTGTTCGTGGGAGGGAAAGTGATCATGCATCATGTCTTTTCCAGATAAATGCTCAGGATGATTATGGCGTTCTGGTTGGGAACTGGTCAGGGAATTACTCTGATGGCGTCTCTCCCGCGGCATGGAGCAGCAGTGTGGAGATCCTGAGAAAATACCACTCCAGCGAAGGAATCCCAGTGAGTTACGGGCAGTGCTGGGTCTTCTCAGGGGTCACCACGACAGGTGAGTAAAATAGAAAAGTATAGAAACCAAACATGGTGGTATCTGTGATTTAGTTTTTAATGGAAAACAGAAAATGCATGAGAACATTCACCAGACATGAGTAAAATATACATGAAGACGTGAGCTGTTCTTTGGCGCCTTTCATAACTTTGTAACAGAACACTGCAGTCGTGCGTATTCAGGGAACTTTGCATGATAGCTCGCTGACTTTAGCGCATGCTCCTGATGGCCATGGCATAGGTCAAATACAACCAGAATTCCTCGCAGTAGCATTCCTGTCATACCTGCTACTCTGGTCACTAACCAAGCTGCATGTGTTGCTTTCGTTCAGCCCGAGTAATAAAGTTCTTTCTGTCATCTTGGCAAAAACATCATTGTCCACAGATTCAACTCAACAACTCACACGAAATGCTAACATCTATCTGTTGTTGTTTTCAGTGCTGCGCTGTCTCGGCATACCTGCTCGGAGTGTGACCAACTTTCAGTCTGCACATGACACAGATGTTTCCCTCACTACAGATGTGTACTTTGATGAGAATCTGCAGCCAATCGATCACCTCAATAGTGACTCTGTCTGGTAAGATAACAGAACAGACCAAGAAACCTGCTGCATGAAATTAAATCTCAGGAATGTACATTAGTTGTTCTTCAGTGATACGAAAACTCAGAGAAGTTAGTAATCTATGTAAAGTAGATTATAATGTAATGAATGTACATAAATACCTAAAAATGACATTTACATTCTTCTAACTGTTGCTTTTTGACAGCTTTCTAGGCTACATAATGAACATATTAATGTTGAAATAAATCTTTAGTATCAAATCTAAATATATAAAGTTAAATATTCAAATAGACATACATGCGAAAGTTTAAAATAAAATAAATAAGAGACCCTTTGATGGTAAGTCCATCTAACCACGTGTCTGTGTGTCTGCATTCACCTTGGACATAGTTAAACGAGCCACAGTTACCATCAAAAGTACCCTGGGATGTTAGATCAGGGATCTTCTCACCTTGATAATTTGGTGAATTGCTACTTGTATTTTATATCAGTGTGAGTTTGACTCTTTCGCTGTAGTTGACCCATCTCCAAGGAGCAGTGGGCTGCCATTTGCACGTTGCCCAAGGGTACTTCCTGTGGCTCGGCAGGGCCTGGGATGGAAGCGCTCACCTTTTAATCAGTGATCAACCGCTTTCAGCCACAGGAGCCCAATTAAATATTTAGTTATTATTTTATTCTAAATCTTTATTCTTCATTATTATTTGAAGAACAATGTGATAAATGATAGCTGTTAATGTTTAATGTGTTACTTTTGCATCGGCACCACAACTGCAACTTTGTTCAGAAACTAATCTATTTAACATCCTCCCATATAAAGAGTTAATAATCAGTCCCTTTGGCTGTTTATTAAAGCCTTCATCTTTAACTTTGAAGCAGGCAGGAGTTGTGACGAGGCTAATTGCTACATCATAAGTAGCACTAATTGGATTTCTGTTAAAACAATTAATCTCTGCCATAATTACCCCTGTGGTCGTTAATTAATTAACCCATTCTAACCTTTTAATTAACCCTTTAAAATTCCTGTAAAATGAATTGAAGCAGAAACGTTGAGATGTAAGAGTGCCAGTTGAAGCTGTGATGAAGCAAATGACATCTCTTTGAAGGAACTTCCATGTTTGGAATGATTGCTGGATGGCCAGACCAGACTTGCCTCCTGGTCATGGAGGGTGGCAGGCTGTTGACTCCACTCCCCAGGAGACGAGTCAGGGCATTTTCTGCTGTGGCCCCGCCTCCGTCAGCGCTATCCGCTCTGGTCAAGTTTACCTCAAACATGACACGCCATTCGTCTTTGCTGAGGTGAGTTATGATTCAAGCGTGTTTCCTCAGATCTCGGTGTTCTTTAGCAGCTTGTAGTTATGAGTCCTTGATCTACAACAACTGTGTGGAGGAATTTTTTCTGTGTGGTCCATATTTGGTTTTAGCTTTGTTATTACATCTGAAAAGGAGTATTTTGGTATTTTATTGCCAGGTGAACAGTGATAAGATCTACTGGCAGAGGAATCTAGACGGGACATTCAGCCAGATCTACAGCGAGAAGAAAGCTGTCGGCCACTGCATCAGCACCAAAGCAGTCGGCTCGGATGAACGAGATGACATCACACAGCTGTACAAACACCCAGAAGGTACTGGCAGGCCCATACTGATCACAACATGAAATGATGTGTCCCTGTTAGCCTTTTTTTTTATTTTTTATCAATCTGAATGAGTCCTGGAGACAAAATGAGGGTCACTTACCTCATCCTTTCCCTCTTCTTTGCCAGATTCGGAGGAGGAACGCATTGCCGTGGAGACCGCGAGTCGTTATGGCAGCAAGCCAGATGTGTACTCTGCTCCTGCAGCAGAGGACGTTCAAGTGGAGGTGAAGATAGATGGTGAGGGGCCCAGGATGGGCAGTGACGCCAAGCTGAGCATTGTGATGAAGAACCTGAGCTCCAAGGCCCGGCGGGCGACTCTGCACAGCCAGGTGGCCGTCATGCACTACACCGGTGTGCTGAAGAATGCTATCAAGAAGGATCAGATACCTGTGGAGCTGTTGCCCAATGAAGGTTGGATTCTCCTCCTTAATGTTATGGATCTAATGAGAGAAAAGCCTTGTGGTCCCTTTCAACTCTGCAGGGGCTCTTAGAATCGATAAGCCATCACTTTGCTTCATAGGTTTAAAAACTCAGAGGGTTTTTCTCTAGTTTCCTAAAACTTGTTTCAGACAACGACAAAATAAATAGATAAATAAATAAATAAATAAATAAATAAATAAATAAATAAATAAATAAATAAATAAATAAATAAATAAATAAAAATGCAAAACAACATTCACGAAGAATTTACGTTTTGTTTTCTAATGATCGGAAAGGAAACAAATGCTTAGGGAACCAGCAGTAGCTTGGTTGATGCTTATGGATTCTTTCTGCGCATCAAAATTAGCCCATAAAAGCTTGTTTCTCTATTTCACTCTCATGTAAAGCTGAACTGAGGCCCTCTAATGGACATATCGCCAAACAGAGACTGGCTCAAATTTGATCTAACTTCTTCCTGTCAGCATAAAGAGAAAATCTGTATTTCTGCCTTTCTTTACTCACAGAAAAGACTATTGAGTGGGTCTTACCCTACCAGCAGTACCAGAACCAGCTAATGGACCAGGCAGCGCTGATGCTAACTCTGTGTGGGAGAGTCTCTGAGACCAAGCAGGTGTTAGCCAACCAGACATCTTTCAGGCTCCGAACGCCTGACCTCAAGATCCTGGTGAGTGTCCGATTTTATTTCTTCATTTATATTTGACAAGGTTTTTTTTCTTTGCAGTTTCTCATCCATGACTATTATGTTCTTTATGGTAGCCTCTGGGTGACGCTGTGGTTGGTAAAGAGATGTCAGCCAAGATCACCTTCACCAACCCGCTGCCACGCATGCTAAAGGACGTGGTGTTTAGAGTGGAGGGTCTGGGTCTGCAGAAAGGCCATGAAGTGGTCGTAGGGTAAGGCTTCATTCTCAGTTTAAAAGTTCACAGAGAAACCAGTTTTTACTTGTCATTTGGAAATTTGATTGGCCAGTTTACATGCAGGCTGAAAGTGAAAACCGTCTTCTGCCCCTATTTCCTGCATTAGCCTTGACAGGGAAATAGAGGGGGAAATGGATCAGAAAGATCTATGTCACACTGAAAATTTGCATTCATGGCTCACGAGGGGGAAGGCTGTTGTTGATTTAGCGTCTAGGAAACAGCTGCGTTTCAGCTGGTAGATGCTAACTGTTAGCATCAGAACTGTTAGCATAAGCGACTCCAAAACATGGCAGAACTCCTCCAGATACAATTTCAGTGTTGCAGATCAAAGGGAGTCACCAGCCTCTTTTAGAGACCAAAGCCACCAATTAGCTGCAACGCTGTGGAGCCTTAAGTCATTTGTAAGTGGTCAGACCATGGTAATATGGCGCAATCGTGTCCTTTCTATAAAGATTACGTGATGGCGGCATATAGGGTCGGTCTCTACGTTGTCACAGACTTCTGTTTATCTTGGAAGCAACTTGCTTTTTATTGCAATTGAAACAGCACTCATTACGTTTTTTGGACAAGCCGCTCCTAAAGATGTCAGTCCCGCACAGTCCCTGTGTAGTCTGGTGATCTGAGCTCTAACAGATAGCTCCAGGAGCGCTGCATCGTTCCAGTTTTACATCGCAGCTGCTTCTGTTTACAAAAGTGAGACCCACTACCCGTGTTTACTTTCATTTTTAATATAGCTGCTGGCCGGAGCTTGGCAGTACCTCCCCACGTGATCATAACACCCCTCTCTGATGCGCCAAGGCGTAACCTGCATTTACAAGTCCTGCATTGCAGTAATATTACTATCAAGCGTGGCGGCACAAATGCCACAAAACTCCCCCAACACCATGCTGCTACAGCGCGCTCATAAGACACACCACGGTGGCAGTATTACACTGATTTGCTGGCATGGTGTGTCTTCTAAAAAGGTCTAGTGGTAGAGTCCCATTTGCTGTTAGCCAATCAATGGTGAGATGTCCAAATACAGTATCAGGAAACAAGACTAAATCCTGCCATCTTCAACTCCTCACGCCTCGGGCTAACTTCCTAAAACGGGAGCGCGAGAGCTTTTTTTTCCCCACAGAGATCGATCAACTCACTAGTATTAATTTATACTAGAGACCAAACCAAATGTGCAATGAAAAAATGAATAAATTGGTCTTTAACCCCCCCCCCCCCCCCCCCCCCCTACATTTTCTTCCCTCTCTCTTTGAAACCCGAACATTTCTTCCCTCCTTCAGTGATGTTGGCGGCCACTCCACAGTGACACTGACGGAGCACTTCATCCCCTCCCAGCCCGGACCCAGGAAGCTGGTCGCGTCCCTCGACTGTAAACAACTCACTCAAGTGCACGGAGTGGCTGACATTACTGTTCTTGAGCAGTGAGAAGCTTCAGGATTTAAGCTGGGAGATTTTTGTGCTAACTTCCTGTACCGCAGTCAGATGTTTCCTGAAGCAAATCTAATAATCAACACCATGGAAAGGTAACTGTCACATTATCAGTGTTATTATTTTTATGTTGATTGTACAAACACACCTCTGGCTTGCTAGGGTGAAGATGCAACAAACTTAGTACACCAGTATTCAGATTGTTCTGACAATAGTGCAATTTAAAAATGTATACAAAGCATGTCAAAGTGCAAAGTGAAGCTGTTTTTGTTCCATTGTGTAAATAGTGCTTTTGTATTATTCATGGTATTCTTTTATTAGCATGTATTTAACGTGAAAAGTGTTGACAAAATGGCTGGTGTGAACGGATGGTTCTGAAAACAATTTAGGAAATCAATCAAAAAGATTTTTTTTAGGAATATCTATTTAAACATTTAAAGCTTACTCATATTTTTAGACTACTTCATTAAAAAAATCATCTGCATTGCCAGGCAGGATCCAGTTTTGAGGTGAGATGAAGTTATGTGACGCCTATTTCAAAATAAAAGTCCCACATTGGTGCACAGACAACATTTGTGCATTTGTACAAATAAAGTGTTTCCCTCCTGATGATTTTTTGTTAATAAACTGTGAAATACTACACTGACAGCAGTTTTATTATTGCACATTACAGATAATTAGCAAATCTGAATAATTCATTTAAGCTTTTACTGGTCGTTCCTTCAACTTCAGCACTAATGTGAAAAATCTACATGTAACCATCTTGTTTTATTTATCTATATTTGGGATGCTATTGCGTCATCTGTGTTGTATCACTAATAAAACTCTGAAACTTGGCCTGGCCCACTAACTAATGACTTAGAAAGAATAGTGTGTAGGTTAAAGTGGATAAAACCCACGAGGAACAAATGTGAAACTGTACATTTACTTAACAAGGGCTGATGGTGCATCCTGTAACACAAGAAGCTGTTTTTCACTGATGTAATGGGTTTACCTTTTTCTTTAATGTTATTTAACATTTTCAGGAAATCTGTCTGCATCTGTTAAGTAGAATCTATATGAAAACCAGTCCTTTTGTGAAGAAAATACAAAATGGTGATAAAATTTCTGCAGAGAAGAAAAAAGCTTTATTCATCCATCTATCCATTTTCTTCCGCTTATCCGGAGTCAGGGTGTGTGTGTGTGTGTGTGTGTGTGGGGGGGGGGGGGGGGGGGGGGGGGCAGGCAGTAGTCTAAGGCGAGAGACCCAGACTTCCCTCTCCCAGTCACATGGGCCAGCTCTTCCGGGGGAATCCCAAGGCATTCCCTGGCCAGGTGAGAGACATAGTCCCGCCGAAACTCATTTTGTCCGCTTGTATCCGCAATCTCGTTCTTTCGGTCACTACCCAAAGCTCACGACCATATGAGGGTAGGAACGTAGATCAACTGGTAAATCGAGAGCTTCACCTTCTGACTCAGCTCTCTCTTCACCACGACAGACCGGTACAACGCCCGCATCACTGCAGATGCAGCACCAATCCGCCTATCGATCTCGCACTCCAGCTTTCCTTCACTCGTGAACAAGACCCCTGTCAGGTTGAGATGATGGAGGACCCAAAATGCAGAAACCCAGGATGACACAAGACAGAAGTTGAATAAATAAAATAAATCCTTAATTTTTGGGATGATCAACAAGTAACCAATCAAGGTTACTTCTTAAATTACAACGCTATGGAATAAGAGGGGTGGCGCATCAATGGGTTAATAGTTATTTATGCAATAGAAAACAGTTTGTTCAAATAAATAATGCTAAATCTGAATTAAAAGATATTTATTATGGTGTGCCACAAGGGTCAGTCCTCGGACCTAAACTGTTCATATTGTTTATTAATGACCTGGTAAATGTGTCAAAATTACTTGGCACAGTTTTATTTGCGGATGATACTACATTGTTTTATTCAGGATTAAATATACATGAAGTAACTCAAGTGATAAACAGTGAATTGATTAAAGTTAAAAAATGGTTTGATATAAATAGACTGTCACTGAACCTGAACAAAACAAACTATATACTGTTTAATAACAAAAGAAGCTGTGATGTATCTTTAATGATAGATGGAATGGAAATTCAAAGGGTAAAAGAAACCAAATTTCTTGGAGTCATGTTCGATGAGAGTCTCACGTGGAAATCACATGTAGGTTATATAAAGGGGAAAATCGCCAAAGCCATGGGTGTATTATATAGAGTCAAGTTTCTACTAAATTTGTCGGGGTTGTTAACATTGTATCACTCACTGATTGAACCATATTTATTTTATTGTTTAGAAATTTGGGGAGCCACTTGCAAAACTTTTACACAACCATTGTTCATTTTGCAAAAGAGAGCATTGAGAATCATTAATAACAGTAACTATAGAGCTCACACTAATCAATTATTCATTAGATACAAAATACTGAAATTTCCTGACTTGGTAGAGTGGAAAATATTGCAAATAATGTACAGAGCGAATACGAGTAATCTACCAACTAATATTCAGAAAATGTTTCATAAGAGAGTGAGTGGGTACATGTTAAAAGGAACTGATGTCTTTGAGAAACCTAGATTCAGAACCAAAGTGAGGGAATGTAACATTTGTGTAAATGGTGTAAGATTGTGGAATGCCATTAACAAGGAATTTAAAGAATCAACTACACTTGCAATATTTAAAAAATGTATAAAATCTAATGTATTTAGTAATTATGAAAAGGAGAATTATAATGTCAAAGATTAGACGTGAAAATATTAGAAAGTGACTGAGGTTACACTGTGTTTGTTTGGCGGATAATTTTATTTCGTAAAAAGGGGCAGAAATCATAAGATTTTTTCTTCTATCTGCTCCTTTTCATTCAAATGTTTTTTTTCAATATGTTAATGTATGTTGTATTTGTTTGTGTTTATTTTATACATTGTGAATGAAATAAAAGATTAAAAAAAAAAAAAAAAAAAAAAAAAACAAACACTAATCCGAAGAAGGCTGGGAGCCAAAGCCCAAAAATCCAGATGAAGACCTGGGTATCCAAATATTCAAAGGCACGAGAAGACTAAATCCAAACACGAGGGGCACTAGAAGACATGACAGAATTACAAACAATGGACCGACAAGACACTGAGACAAGACAGGGCTTAAATACACAGGGAGGATGAGAGGGAGATGAGCTGCAGGTGTGTGGGGTGTGGGAGGAGGACCAGGTGAAGGCGATGACTAATCAGGGGAGAAACTAACTTGAGCTAAGAATAAAACCTAATACAAAAGAGCAGGAAACATAACTACAATTCAAAGGGAGGGGGAAAAAATAATAAACACTGATGGGAAAAAACATACTAAATCATGAAAGGCTGTAACTAAAGGAAATGACTTGAGAAACCTAGAGGGCTGGAGATCTAGGGGCAAATGGGGAAACCAGAAGACACATGAGGAAGATGCAGATATGACACATGAGGGTGCTAGGACACAAAAGGGAATCTAGAGAGGATGGAGAAACACCAGGAGGCACATGAAGGAAGGGGCAAACGCAGACCATGACAACCCCGAGATACTTAAACTCCTCCACTTGAGGCAGGACCTCATCCCTGACCCGGAGAAGGCATTCCACCCTTTTCCGGATCAAGACCATGGTCTCAGATTTAGATGAGCTGATTCTCATCCCAGCTGCTTCACACTCGGCTGTGAACCGCTCCAGCGAAAGCTGAAGATCACGTTCTGATGAAGCTAACAGGACCACATCATCTGCAAAACGCAGAGACTCAATGCTTAGGCCATCAAAACAGATCCCTCAACACCTTGGCTGCACCTAGAAATCCAGTCTATTAAAGTTATGAACAGAATCGGTGACAAAGAGCAGCTTTGGCGGAGTTCAAGTCTCACTGGGAACAAGCCTGACTTACTGCCGGCAATGCAGACAATCCCTGGTACCGGTCATGCAGGGACCTAACAGCCCATATCAGAGGGCCTGATACCCCATACTCCCAGAGTATCCCCCAGAGGGACAGGGTCAAACGCCTTCTCCAAATCCACAAAACACATGTAGACTGGTTGGGCAAACTCCCACGCACCCTCCAGGATCCTCCTGAGGGTATAGAGCTGGTCCAGTGTTCCACGGCCAGGACGAAAACCACATTGCTCCTCCTCAATCTGAGGTTTGACAATCCAACACACCCTCTTCTCCAGAACCCCTAAATAGACCTTACCAGGGAGGTGAGAAAAATCTCAGACATTTTAGGATTATTGTCACGTATTTAAGTAAATAAGTGGGAAATTCTCTGATGTTGAAAAATGTTAACAAAAAAGTTACCTAATAACCCTGCACCTGGACACGCAGGTGTAGGGTTACTCTAGAAGATAGAATTATATTATCAGGTCTGGTATGTTCATTCAATTGCCAGAAATATGTCAATAATATCAGAATTAAAGAGTTAAAGTAGCTGAAAAACTGGAACATTTGCTCAGATCTTTATTTATAAAGGGTGGTGGCCGGGCTCAGCCTTAGAGATGGGGTGAGGAGCTCGGACATTCGGGAGGGACTCGGAGTAGAACCGCTGCTCCTCCGGATCGAAAGGAGTCAGTTGAGGTGGTTTGGGCATCTGGTCAGGATGCCTTCTGGACGCCTCCCCGGGGAGGTGTTTCGGGCATGTCCTGCCGGCAGGAGGCCCCCGGGTCGACCCAGGACACGTTGGAGAGGTTACATCTCCAATCTGGTCCGGGAACGCCTTGGGGTCCTGCCGGAGGAGCTGGTGGAGGTGGCCGGGGAGAGGACGGTCTGGAGCTCCCTAGTTGGGATGCTGCCCCCACAACCCGGACCCGGATAAGCGGAGGAAGACGAGACGAGACTTTATTTATAAAGTAACGAGAAATAAAATGTTAAAATCATAATTGCATAAAAAATAAACATTCTCTGAGGTTTATGGAAAAAACCCACAACAAATATTAACCCACTCAGGCTCAAAAGAAATTTTGATAAAAGGACAAACAACTAAGTCCTTCAGGGGTACTTCTGAGTTAAAAATGCTCATGAAACACGTATTCGGAGTAACCAGGTAGGTAGGTTCTAACGTTGCAAATCTGCAACACCTGCCTCCAGAGGGTTAATTTAGTTATAAGATACAAAGAAATGTGTTGGAAAAACACAAAGAGAGAAAGAACTTTGTAAGTTTTATTCTGAACACAGATGCAACCAGTCGTGTAATCACTCTTTATATCAAAGGCCCTTTTATGATTTACAGCAGTGAAATGGGTAACTTAGTCAGATTAAAACCAATGATGCTGAGCATGCTTCATGTGTGAAGGTTGCAGCTGTGATCCCAACATGACACACTCTCAATACACACACTGTAATACACCGGAGATGTGGAAGCGGGGTCAGTCCACTGATTTACAGATATTTTCCACCATTTTGTTAAACTCGTCTGGTTGGTCTGCATACACGTTGTGCGAGGCGTCGTCTATCAGCTGCAGAGAGGAATTTGAGCACAATATTAATAGTTGGTAAATGGTAAATGGTCTGTATTTGATATAGCGCCTTGTAGAGTCCTGGAACCCCCCAAGGTGCTTTACAACACAATCAGTCATTCACCCATTCACACACACATTCACACACTGGTGGAGATGAGCTACAGTGTGGCCACAGCTGCCCTGGGGCGCACTGACGGAGGCGAGGCTGCCGAGCACTGGCGCCACCGGTCCCTCCGACCACCACCAGCAGGCAACGTGGGTTAAGTGATTTGCCCAAGGACACAACGACAGCGACAGACTGAGCGGGGCTCGAACCTGCAACCTTCCGATTACGGGGCGAGCACTTAACTCCTGTGCCACCATCGCCCCAATCAGTTACTTATGAATCTTGGATGTAAACGTCTGTGTGGACTCACCCGCACTTTGGTGTGGGCCTTATTGCCCCTGATCTCAGCCGCTCTGTCCCCAGATGAGCTGTCCACCCAGGACAGAGCTCCATACACCATGGTGACAGGCATGGAAGAGGGCAGGAGATGCACTCGCTGCAGCATGGGCCTCTTAGCCCAGCCAAGTGTCTCTGACATGGCCCGGAAACCCACTTCACCACTGGGAAGAAGAAAGGAATGTTATTTTTGTGCTTTCCTACCATGCCGTTTCCTTCAAAGCGGAGACAGGACTCAGGAAGCACGTTGTCGAGTAAATACCTTGGGCTCTGTGCATTACAGTGGTAGATGTACTGCGTCATTGTGTCATCATCAAACAGATCTTCAAACTTCCTTTTGAAATCAGGACGGAATCTGTTCACCAAGCCCGGGCCTGAATCGATAAAACAGTCACTGAGATTACAGCAGAGCCTTGTACGAGTTGCACAACAGCAGATAGGGATTTTTTTCGTTGTTATTACCCCACGGGCCGGCTGCTCTGACGACAGCCAGCGGGTTGAACAGAGAAACAATCGATGCGATAGCCCTCACCCAGCGAGGAGGGCGCACCCTCTTCACCACCTCTTCACTCTGACCCTCCTGGGTTTGCGACTGCGGTCGCTCAGGGAATCCCCAGGGGTCCACCAAGATCAGATGAGCCACCCTGCAGAGGTACAGCTGATAGTAATAGTGACACTTATCAACCTGCTGCTGGTGCTTTATTGTTGTGTTTCTCTGAACGTACACTAGGAGGCACTAGTGAGCATTGCCTGCTGCTTTTCTTCACGCTGATTTATAAATGATTAAGATGGCACCCGGTTGAGCTCCTTTAAAGCCAAACACAACCAATGAGCGGTGACACACTTCCACTGTGCACTTTGGTAATTACAGAAGTGCAAAATTAATGGTGTGGTAAATGTGCACGGTGATATTTCTTCATGCATTCATCCTGGCATAGCACCACTGATTTAACGATCCTCCAGTACAAAAACAAGGTTTATTGTAGCTTTAAATGTTATCTGGAGGAAAATGTCCTGGGAAATCTGGGTTTTTTTCTTCTGAGAGGTAGATTAAAAGATTAATAAAGCTCTAATATCTTTGAGCTAAACTGAACCTGCAGCCACGAGTGCTGGTTTGGTACGTTTACCGTAGAGACTATTTCTAAAAGTAATAAGATTCTATAACAAGAATACTGAAGCCTTAGAAATTAAAAGTTTGAAACACACACACACACACAAAAAACAAAAAACAACGAAAACTTGTAACTTTTTGTCCTTAAATGCTAAATGTTATTTTTTGGGGGTGAATAACACTGCGCTTGTACCACAAGTGTATTATTTCATGTATAAAGCACGGTGGAGGTGTTTACATGGTTTGAGATTCATGTGTATTGGTCTGTACCATGATTTTAAGGTCATTTGGGTTCAGTAAAACTTTTTTTGCCCTCTTTAAAATTAAAACAATACTGTTAAATAGGAAGGTCTAGCAATCAGATAAAAACGGATTTTTAGACTTTCCGTGTTTCGAATTGGAGGGAAAATAGCATACCTAAAAAAGAGATTCTGTATAAATATTTTGGTCTAGACTTGATTTTAAAAAAGGGGCAATAGATAACTAAGTAACACTAGCCTTGGAGATTGGTTGCAGAAGCAAAATGATTGTGCTGTAGGTGGGTCTAGCCACGATATATTAGAACCTCAGCAGGCCTACCTATTGGTTTGGTCGGTGGGATGATGCGACGGAGCGCAACACGATGGCAGCAACCCATTTGAAACATCTTTGGCATCACCTTTGGACTATTTAGACTTGGACTTTTCTTTGAATCAACAGCAGATAGAGGTACTTAACTCCTTTATTTAGAAAAAGGATGTATTTGTGTTTTCTTTGACTGTGTGTGGCAGACTGTTGACTGACATCCACAGCGGTGAGTATGCCATGTTGTTCGTTGTCCAATAGCATATGGACACAGTCCGAAAGACAACCGTAGATTCCACCCGTGACAGAGCTCTTCCTATCGGTCATAGCCAGACCTTATTATCACACATGTTAGTGTAACAGAGTAAATGGTGTCATTCCACTTGCCATCAGTAAAACAGTTGGAAACTGCACTGCCGTAAGTGGGGGAGTTGGTTCCGAACGTCTCCGGCTTACGTGCTGACGTGTCCAGCTGCGTCGGATATTCGTCAGTTTTAAGACGGAGCCGTTCGAGGTAGGTCGGGTTCTATCAGTGCTCGGTTATTTAAAGTTATTTAATACTTATTTGAGTCTTTTTATTCCAACAGAGTGTGCTGTATGATCCTACCAAAAGCTAGGTTTCTGACCAGCATTCCTGCATTAACAGATTAAATGCTGGTGTCAGCAAAAACTTCATCTCAAGACTGTTTGTACAACACAACGCAGAGTTGATAAAGAACTGGACCTACCAGTACCAGGGCTGGTATGGTTACATAAGGATGGATTGCCAGGCTAAAATATCACATGACCACATGAAAACACAGAACAAAGCAGCTTAGTGCAGTGCTGTTTACTCACTAACGATGCTGATTGCCACTGTTTTGATATTCTATATAATATTTGTATCCATTTGGCTCTCCATACAGTGACTTTTTTGACATTCACAAATAAGCCGTTTTTACATAACTATGCCACAACGCCGTGGCGGCATCAGGGAGCCTATACGTGCTCAGACCATGGTGGTAATGTGGCGCAATTGTGTCCATTTTTTTTTAAGATTACACAATGGCTGCATAAAGGAGGTAGGGGGGTGGTCCCTGTGGATTTCCATTTATCTTGGATATAAATATATATGTTTTTAAATCGAAGCTGCGCTCATTAAGTTTCTTTAACAAACCGCTCCTAAAGGTGTCTGTCCCCATCAGTCCCGGTACAGTCGCTGGTGACCTGACCTCCAGCTCTAACATGGAGAAGCAACGCTTCAGTTTGCCATCTCAGCTGACTTTGTTCAAAAATCCAAAGCTATTGCTCATGTTTACTTTCATTTTCAATGTAGTTGCCAGCCGGAGCTCGAAATTAACTCCCCACGTCATCATGACACCTCCCAAGGCGCGATTGCCGTTTATAAGACAGGAAATTACCGCATCATTACAACCATGCGAGGCAGCAGTAGCCGGCGTGGTGTGCCTTGTGAAAAGGCCTAGTGATAGTGATACCTGCAGCTAGTGATACCTGCAGCTTTCCGTTCTTGAGTTGTGACCATTTTAACATGAACTGAGGCGTTTTTTTGGCTTTTTATAAACAAACTGTAAGCCTTTTAGCTTTGCATCTAAAAAATAGTACTCTTTGGCTTTCTATAATCAGAATGGAATTATTCAGCTTTCCATAAAACGAGCTGTCCCCATCGGGTTTTTTTTTTCATTAAAATATTTGGGACCCTTTAGCTTTCTGTATATGCATTGTGACTCTTGACAATTTCTGTACAAAAAATGTGACTCTTAACAGTGTGTGGCTGAATTGCAACCCTTTTGGCTTTCCATACTCAAATCTTGAACCATTTTAAATTGTGACTCTTCTAGGGTTCTAGGGCCCTGTGACTAACATTCACCATGTGGTTACCTTATGGGTGAGTTCTAGCTAGATGCTGACCAACCTCACCCAAAAAAATAACAGTCATGAATTAGGACTAATAATAATATAAACCCTTCATTCACAGAAAAGGTTTTCAGCATTGTTTGAATTATGTAAACTTGATGATTACCTAGAGGGGTGCTGAATTGCATATGAGGTAGCCAGGTAGCCCCCCAAACTGTGTCCCAGCAGGATCATGTTCTCCACACCTACAGACTGCCTCCATTGTTCAATAGAGTCAACAAATTGCTCCTCTGCCTTGGCAGCATCTGAGGGGAAAGGAGGTCTGGAACTTCTGCCAAAGCCCAAGAGGTCAAAAGCGTGGACGGTCCGCGAGCGGCTCAGTGCATCCAAGTTCCTGATCCAGAGTCCAACACCTCCTCCGAAGCCATGAACCATCACCAGGGGAGTCTTAGAAGCTAGTGGGAATAGGACCGATTTTTATACATATACACCTCTAGGGGTCACCCCTGTGAGTATTTTAAAGCTTAGTACCTTGATCTGCAGGTTTGGGAGCCAGCTTGTTGGTGAGGGACAGAGTCCATATTCTGTCCTGGTTTGGGAGCGTCACAAATCTGGCCCAAAGGTCATTCTGAATACCTGTTTGAAACAGTGTAGGTGGAATAAACTTCAGTTCCAAATTTATACTCTACTAACACAACATGATGTGTGTGTAAACACCAACAGTCTAGTCTTACAGGTGAGAATCTTGGACTCTGCTGTCTTCAAAAGGGACATGGAGGTTGGACGCCAAGAAGGCCACCAGCTCCAGAGAGAACTTGACCTAATCAGTGAAAAATGGAAAGAATGTTTCGTGGAGAATGAAGAGATATTGGAGAAAATATTCAGCACAGGCAGGATGCATAAGGGCAGGTCCAAGGTTAGAGTCGGGTTAGTCACGTTTTTATTTTCACTGAGCAAATAGGAAGACAGGACATGCATTTCAAAGCCACTGTGTTGTAAGTTAAAGACAAGATCCACCACCACAGCAGGTACAGAGGAGTTAATGCTACTCTATAACAAAACACAACAGTTGTCTCACCAGCTTCTTTTAGTTTCCAGCCTGAAAAAAATGTTATTAAACAGATATGAGTCACTTCCTCTTCTCCTGTGTGAGTCCAGTCTCACATACCTCCACCCCCCTGAACCAGGTAAAGGCTTCCACCTGTTCTACCAATAAATGATGCAGCTCTGTTCTGCTGAGTCACTTGGAGAGATAACATTTACCTCTGTCCCTCTTCTGTTCACCTTGTCACAATGCTAAAGGGTATTTGTTTAAAACTCTAACCCAGTCCTGTTTATTTTTTATTTCTTTGTTATGTTAGACTTGCATAAAACTGACCAAAGTCAATGGGAATTGTTTGCTGTAACTTTACTTATTTTGTTTATTGTGCCTGTTTCTGAAAATGTTTATTAGCACCAGCGTGAAAAGTTCTTCTGATAAGGTGTCATATTACGTTCTTATTTATACAATAAAATGACTACAGTTATAATGACAGTGATTCCTTCAGAGACCCCAACTTGTTTTGCTTTTGTTTGTTTTTTTCAAAAGGCACATTATGTTTTTATTTTATTTTATTTATTTATTTTTTTTGTTATACCAGGTCAATCAGAAATAAACATTGAAGTGAGTTCTGCCTTCTTATTTACAATTAACTTTATGGTGTTTACATAAGAGTGGAAGTCATTTAAGAAAAGGCAAAAGTTAGGGAGAGATTTGGAGACCCTCGCTTTATTATATGAAATTTCCCTAAAAGAAGAATTAGATTAATTCTAAAACTTAACATTTTATCATTGCATTCAAACTTGACAATAACATCTTTAGATTTGATTTGGATAGTGTACTTGGATTTACTCATTTTCCACATCTTTCCAAAATCCAGATGAGAGAGAACAATTATAAAACAAGTGTATAACAGTCTCTGAACCGGTATGACAAAAGGTACATTTTTCATCCAGATCTTTAACAATGATATATTTTTATTACATGGTTAAATATCGTGTACAGTTTTGAAATTAAGTTCCCTTATCTTGTTTGAAATACAGTATTGAAGGTGAACCATCCATGCTTTTTTCCAATTTCTAACAAGAGACCCCAACTTGTTTTATAAATTTATGGACAGTAATGATGTAAGCAGAATAAGTACTCACTCTGTCTCACAGTCGTTCAGCATAGGACCTGTGCTGGCGGTGGGATCCATTACTCAGCATTAGTAAACATATTCTTGTTACTACAGGCAAATCAAACAAGGCTGGCCACAAATTAACAAGTGTCGGCTTCAAAATTAAGTTAGCCCTGTACTAGCTGTTCTTGTTTTGTAACCTGTACTTTCCTTACGTCAGATGAGCTTGATAAAAAGATCGTCTATAATAAAGAAGTATCACGTGTGTGCGACACAAAAAAATATGACCGTTTCTAATAAACTACAAGCAAAAACCGATTGCTTTATTTTATTTTCAGTATTTACTAACCGTAAATCATACATAGTACAATGCGGTATATATTGAGATTTCGTGACATTTAAGATAGATTTCCGTATTTTAAAACTCTGTAAGAGCATATCATCTTTCTGCTATTTACCCTTTTTTCCCTAAAGGGCTCCTCCTCACGTCTCCGGTTGAGCTATCCGGAGCATATTTCGTGTAACACCCGAGGCCGCATCCGGTTGGTCGGGACACGTCACTGAATCGAAGAAGTACGAGCCGTTTATACCTTCTTTAAATATAATTGAGCTTAACAGTCATGTCGAACTCGGTCCTGTCCGTTATCTCCCGGTTTCTGGAGGAGTACAGCACCACGACCTCCACCAAGCTGAAAGTGGTGGACGCGTATCTGTTGTACATCTTGTTAACAGGAGCGCTGCAGTTCCTCTACTGTCTACTCGTTGGAACATTCCCATTCAACAGCTTTCTGTCTGGCTTCATCTCGTGCGTGGGTTCCTTCATTCTCGCAGGTAATAATTTATATTTAAACGCGTTTATACCCCATATTCTACACCTCAACTCAGTTTATTGTCAGTTGTTGGTCTAATGTTTTCTAGTGTTGCACACATGCTAAGCTAACTAAGCTATAACATTAGCATGGGTTTCGCATCAGGTACATTTCACAAATTTAAATATAGTTGTTCCTCCGTCCTCACTGTATGTTAATTAGTACAACAGAATAAATAAAATACAACATAAACTAACACTTAAATCTAGAATATCAAATGCAAACAGGTATTTATTGACTACTTCCACAATAAAGTAGCTACAAAAACTGATGAGTAATTTCGTAGTGTTGTGGCTAAACCTTTATTTATTTGATTAATAAGCATTCTTAAATATTTGCTCTAATATTCGTTTATAATTTGTATTATTGCCTGTTAAGCAACCTCAAAGAAACAGAAATAAACATTACACCTGCAGAACGTTTGTTCCATCATTCAGTCAAATAAATATTAAAAATTTAGATGATTTTAAAGGAAATAACTGAGCTGCATTACAGCTTTTACACAATAATCAGCTGTATATTTATGTTTAGACATGTACAGGTTCTAATCATTACTTACTGGCAAAGCTACATTAAAACGGCTCATAATGCTATCTTAAATGAGTGCCACGGTTAATAATAATGATCCATTACAGGTTTCATTTAAGTGCAAACGTTTACTCTTTACTATTACTAACTGTGCATTTTTAAATGGATAAAAACTCATCCATACCTCTCTTCTTCCCAGTGTGTCTTCGTATCCAGATCAACCCTCAGAACAAGGGAGACTTCCTCTCCATTTCCCCAGAGAGAGCTTTTGCTGACTTCCTGTTCGCAAACACCGTTCTTCACCTTGTTGTGATGAACTTTATTGGCTAAAATGGATATAAAATAAAGTCACACCTACCCAACTTTTTCAAGGTGGGTATTGTGCAGATTTGAGGTGTTTCAAGAGTGACATTATTTGCTTTAGTTTGGTAAATTGACTACAAAAGATGTTTATGATTGACCTTTTAATCACGACACCACAGGGTCTTGTTTTTATTCTTTTTTTATTAGAGGCCGACTGATATGTTTTTTTTAAGCCGATGCCAATACCAATCTTAAAAGAATTTTGTTGCCAATATCTAAAGCTGATTATGAAGGCCGATATATATGTACGTTTTAGCAGCACATTGATTTTGAAAGACAACTGAACACTCACTGTGTGTAATATAAATTATATAAGTCAATAAATCTCTTAATATTTATTGAACTTCAAATATAAAACTAACTCAAAACATTAAAAAAAAACCAAACTGTGTCGGGGTCCAGCAGGCTCTTTCTTCAGTCGAGTAGTGGTGGCAGTTGGCCGCACAGGTGCCTGATTGTATTACTATTTTTTTTATTGGCTTTTCAAAATAATTTTGACCGAAAGAAAACACTGAATATATTGGTCGGCCTCTATTTTTCATGCTGTTGTTTTTCCTGACCCTTTTTTTTATTTTACTTAATCGCAAGTTGCTAAAACCGTTCAGATCAAATCTAAATAACCATATGACTCAAACAGCATTCACATCCAGGAATCTCTTTGGACTAAATGTAATAAGTCAAACTCCAGAAAAATTCATTTAGCTCTGATAATATCTGTGTGTTGAGAGAAAAGTCAGAGAGCATTAAAAAGATACAGGAGGCATTGCTTTGTCTTTTGGGCATTTTAAATAATTTTAACTGTCAGCGGTGGTTCATCACCTCTGTCAGAAAAGCCCATCCTGTAAGAACATCTGGCTAACCCCAGCACTGCTGCTTTTTCTCTCTGCAGATCACAACCAAACCCAAACCTCCTGGATGCTACTACCTTGAATTTGAGCAGCAGATCTGGACCGCAGATTCCCAGCATCAACACTGAAGGACATGTATCTTCATACATTTGATGCAGTACATTTTTCTAACTAATAAACGAAAACTTTTTTATGTTAATGTTTGTAAATCATTCCCAGTTTGCATTTACAGAAATAAATCATCTGTAATGTTGATTATGTCGAGCCAGTTTGTTCTTTAAAATTTCAATGATTAGAGCAGAAAGTTAGCGGGGTTTTTTGTCAGAGGGTGCCATCTAGAGAAGGAAAAAGTTATCTGGTGGGGGGCACCTGGAAGTCTAGTGCTTTTATATCAGATTTGATCAAGTAAGGCAAACCAAGAGCGAGTCAAATTTTGTGTTCGGATACTTGTGAAAAAGTTTCATCCGAAAGCTTCTCAGCAGAAGGAAAGTTTGGGATACTTTAATTGTAAGCACTGTTGGCACGTTCAGTCAAATGTAGAGAAGTGAATGTGATTGGTTTAGATTATTACTGCAACACATTTCTCTCATCAAAATAATTGAACATATATCAGCACTCTGATTCCAGTCTCCAACAAATGGACTCTCTTCAGGCACTCGGAGTACAGACGCTTCCCTCTTTCGCTCCCTTATCTTTTCCCCAAGGCTCTTTGTCGTGTCTGCCCACAGAGCGCTTCTCTGCATTTCTTCTGAAAAACTTTTTATTTTTTATTAACCATGGATTTGATAAATTGGTCATTCAATGTGATCGATAAGATTTTTTTCAACAATGAGAACGGAGCAGGGCGCTCCCACATGTCCACAGGGGACACACCCGGTGGGATGTTAATGTTTATTTATTTGGCAGACACTTTTATCCATAGCGACTTACAATTTATAACCTTTAGGGCATGTTATATGCTGGATTCCTGGAAGGAGTGGAAGATCATATGCCTCTCCCAGCTGTACATTGAGGACATCGAAGATGTGTGGATATTCGGCCTGATGATCACTGGATTTCTCCTGATTGGAGTTGGAGGATATCTGGTTTTCTGGAAATTTGGGAAGACGGGAGCGATTAGAGGGCGACCCGCACCCACGGAAAGCACCGTCCGTGTGGAGACTTCTCAGACTGGGACGTTACTCGAGGTGGATCGTAAGCTGGACGATGTTCTAGCTGCGATACCGGTATTAGTGCGCAAAATGGATGTCATCTCGGAGAGAGTCGCCGGACGGTATGGACAAGTTTAAAAACCCAAAATTGGCTTCACTGAAGGACTGGAATGATCAGTTTAAAGACTGAAGGCAGAGGGGAAAATTATCTCAGCCTGACCCAAACAAATTCTTGTTATCTGAATATGACGCCCTGGTAGCCTTGAGCGGCTACAAACCCCCAGGAAGGAATGCAGACAGATGCTGTGAAAACCCGACCTACCCCCCTGCCTTTGGATTGGTGGACTTCAGCATGGCGAGGTCATCAGCTGGAGGAGTCAATGTGCTCTATGCTTCTCCCAAGATCTCCCTCCCACCTGTGACTGTACAGTAGATGAGCGCTGTAGATGGCTGCTCTCGCTGGGGGAAACAGGATCCCAGCCACCCCACCCCCCCACCCCCGCCTTTCTATTGGAGTCTCATGTTATGTTGTCTGAAGTCTATTGCATATTTGTAGAGGTGGTTTTTTTTTTGCAGAGCAAAGCTGCCCTCCCGGTGGAGGGTAACTCTGAAGTGCCTTTTTTTCCCCTCCACCTGAACCAATCCTCATGTTACCCTCTTATCTCTATTAAGGTAGCGCGACTCAGGTTGCGATTGACCACAGTCACCAATTCTTGTCATGTGTCTTGCCCATGTATGTCTGATCTCTGAGTTGTGTGTACTGAAAATCTAATTTCCCTCTGGGATTAATAAAGTATTGATTGATTGAATAACAGCCAAGTGTTCTGCAGTTGGACAGTATTACATAAAAATAATAAACTTCCCACATGCTTCCAGATGGTTTTGGTGCAAATCTCCTGCAAGTTGGGACTTGGCCCAGATCCCTGATGAAATGACCTCATAGTGCTGTGGCACAGAGTACTTGTACCCAACACATTTCGCTGGAAAATGCAAAACTAAAAAATGTAATACAAAAGACTAAATTTCTGTTTGTTTTCAAAATTTTTTAGAATTTTAAAGATGTTTAGTTTGCCTGTTGTTGTTTGAACAAAACTATCCACTAAAACCATTGTGGTTTATACTTCAGTTAAATGGTGAGCCTCAGTGACATATACTTTTAAACAGTAATTTATTGAATAACCTATTTATTAAAATAAGTTTATTTATTTGCTTTAGTATTTATGCCCTGATTAAAGAAAATGAATGTGAGTTATTAAGTGGATGGGGGGTGGGCAGTGGGGTGGCCATGGCTCTCTCTGACCACCCCTTGGGGGCGCCACTGGAGAATGATAAATTATACTACAGCAGCTAAACGTTAATTTATTCAAATAATTTTTTTAAACCATTTCCAAAACATCTGATGGAAATCAAACATTAAATATTATCAGCCACCATTTCATCCAACGGTCCCACTTGTAGTGTTAGACCCTGTTGAGCACAAGACTCATGAGAGTAAACGAAGAAGTAAACTTAGTTCCAGCCTCTTAGGTGAAAATGAAAATATGAGACATCGTTTCACATTTTCCACACAATTACAAAAATGTAAGAGTTTTCAAATGACGGCAGAAGGACGTAGAGACTCACACAAGTCACTGTTTGAGTGAGCTGGACCTTTCAAAATAAAATATTTTATGGTTTTAGGGGGGAAAGACAACAGCAACCAAAAGGAATCTATGAGTTTCATTGCATAAATTATTTTCAATGAAATTCCATCTGTTCGTATTTATCTTAGGTTAACTATTTCACTCCCAAATAAGACCCAACTTCAGTCGGGGAACTGGCTCTCTCATGGTTAACGTCTGGAACATCTGGATCTAACTTTGGGTCATGTGACGGGGGGAGGAAAACGAAACCACCGAACCTGGAGTCTGTGGTGTTCAGGGCGTTTTCTTTATTTAGAATCAACCAACTCGCAACCTGAAAATAAATTATGTTGCAACTCTTCAAGCTCACTCTAAGCCTGTTGCCATGGATACCAGGTACGACAGCTGACGTCATCCAAACACAGAACTGTCTAAAAAGCATCTGATGAATAATTAGGGTGGTTCGTTTTTGTGCTGCCACCTCCTCACTGTCATGAAGCTTTTGTAAATGCTGCTGTTTATTCCAGCCTAACACTGTTTTTTTTTAAAGATGTCCTTTTCTTTGTTCATTTTCTGTATTAATCACTTGGTGAAGACAGACTTGGAAGTTGTTGAAGCTGCAGTTTTCTGCAAGGGGCATGGAGGGATTTAGTTTTTTTTTTCTGTAAATCTTCCAAGCTTTCATTTTATTTCCTCCAGGCAACAGTATGTTTGAGGGTTTTATATTTTTTGTCAGGCCTTTGAAATCCTGTGTATTAGTGAAGGATAATCCGATTTTGAAATCGTAAGTACAAAGGATGGGGGAGGAGGGGGGGGGGGGACTGCTGTGTAACAAAACAATATGTACTTATAAATTTGGTTAAAGCTTCTGTCCTCTAAACGATACAGCTATGGTTGTTTTTTACTGTTTATTTTCTCAGTTTTCCTCTGCCGTGTGACCACGGATGAAGAGTTTGTGGTTCTGGAAGGAGGATCGCTCACAATCCCGTGTCACTACGATCCCCAGTACGCCAGCTACGTAAAATACTGGTGTCAGGGGAGGACAAGGGAGTTCTGCAGCACGTTAGCTCGAACCGATGACCACCGCATGGTCGACCCGGCCGAGCAGAAAGTGAGCATGTTTGACGACCCGGTCCAGCAGCTGTTCACTGTGACCATGAATGGCCTGAAGGAGGAGGACTCGGGCTGGTACATGTGTGGCGTGGAGATAGGCAGCATGTGGAAGGCTGATGCTACCACCTTCACAAACATTAAAGTCATTCACGGTGAGTAACAAAAGCGTTTTCGGCTGATCTCTCCATCTTCGAAGCTTTCACAAGACGTTTGGATGATGTCTTCTGCAGGGATGTCAGTTGTTAACAGCAGGATGAGCGGAGAGGAGGGCAGCTCTGTCACAGTCGAGTGCCTCTACAGCGAGAGATACAGGCATTTATGTTTCCCCTTGATCATAATTTTATCATTGTTCCAGTTTCACACCTCACCCACAAGACCAGCCCTTAAAACGACACTGATCACATTATCAGTGAACTCAGGAAACACGGTTGTCAGCTGGAAATCTTTCATTCACATCAAGTACCAGCGCACGATCAGCATTTACTGAGTCCCCTGTGTCTGCCTGCCAACAGAGAAAGTGAGAAGAAATGGTGTCGGAGCGGAGACTGGAGATCCTGCCGGTCGACCGGATCTGCGGGGAGCTACGAAGACTCCTCAGTGACCATCAGAGATGACAGATCTGGGGCTTTCACTGTGACCTTTAAGAGGCTGCAGATAATAGACACAGCGTGGTACTGGTGTTCTGCAGGGCAGCAGAAGATAGCTGTACACGTGCTGGTCACACAACCCCCAACCAGTAGGTTAAACAAAACACCCCACATTAATATACAGGAGGAAGATGAAAAGGTTTCAATAGAAACAAAGATTGTTTTCTAAGATTTCAGTAGGATTTACAATTTCAGCCCCACGAAGGATTGTGAATTCCCTCCGAACTGAACCCTCACTGCAGTTATTAGAAGATCCTGAAAACTCCCCTGCATGTTTTTGTAATCTTATTCAAGTATTGATGAATTTAGAAGTACATAAGGATCATGATTTTCAGCATGTGCTGATAGTCAACTCAAAACCTAACCTAAACCGAATAAATCTTAAATCTCTGCTACATTTAACGATTGTAATCCCAACACTGTAAAACAGGAGCTGCACCAGGATCGGTACTGCCATTAAGCTGTCAAACCCCACAAGTGATGGGATCTTCCCAAGTGGGTCGTGTAGGCTAAAGAATTCAAATTCAATATACAAATATAAAATAATCTATTTCCAAAAGAAGTCTGACCTATAAACAGCTCAACATGGGAAAAAAAGCCGGACAATAAATCTATAAATATTTCTTCCTAGATTTCTGGGAGCTAAAACGTGTCTTCTGTGGCTGTCGCAGCTTCAAGTCCCTCTCCATCACCACAGACACTTGGTTTGTGAGCGGCTGGCCTTAAATCACACCCCTCTTTGATGCCTTTTTGCTCATATCAGCTCAGTGTCTGGAGTTTTTTTCTGCTTTGCAGAAATCAGATGGACGTTTTTCCTCTCCGGCACTTTTACAACATCAGTTTGCTGATCCCATTCAGTTTTTTTAGATTCCTAGAACTTCCCGTATACATTAGCCCCCCCAAAACAGTCACCACCAGTTTTTATGATCTAAGTTTCCTGCAGTTGGTTCAGTAACATTATGTATCCAGAGAATGAGATCAGCTGAATGACCATGCAGGTTATTCGATTATTGGATGTTTTGTTCCCGGATGGTACGAGAATATTCCATGATGATGATGATGATGGCGATGTTGATGATGATGACAGGATTCATAGGGCTCAAATAATGAAATGTAAGCGGGCATGGGGCACTCATGGATCAGACAGCACAGAGTCCAGATCTTAACCACACTGGACTCATCACCAATACAAGATCTTGGTGAAAAATGGATGCAGCTAGATGGAAATAAATTTTGTAACATTGCCAAGGATTACTGAAACAATGCCAGAGAGAATGTGTGTCATTATCGAAGCTAAAGGCGGTCCAACGAAATGTAAGAGTGTGAGATTTTTTATTTATTGGCCCAATGGTACATTTTTACGTTTTGACACAAAACCCAAATGTCAGTATTACATCATGGCATTGCTTTTCCCCTAGGATTAGTTCAGTGTTCAAAGGTTTATGTTGTGCAAGTGTGTGTTCTGACTACAGATATTGGTTGAGGTTTAACATATAAAGCCTGATTTATGCTTCTCCGTCTGCGTCAGTGCGGAGACACGCAACGCCATTATCCGTCCTTGCGTAGGGATCCGGCAGGCATGCAAGTACGTACGGAGTCGAGCCCACTTTTTTAAACATCCGCTGAACGAAACGGATTACGCAAGCTTGTGATTGGCCAGGACGCCGCTGTTGTTTACAGCGCCGCCATTGCAAAGAGAGCCGAGTTTAACTAGCGGCAGACACGGAGAAGCTTGAAGAATGCCTCGCGAAAAAAACTCTAAAAATATGGACGTTTCATCCTCCCGTGATTGGAGGAGTGAAAAGATGCGCAGCAAGCGTTTTATTTGTGGACGGAAATGACAGGAAACGTGGGTTTAGAGGTGGGGAGCGCATGAAGAGGTGGGAGAATGAGAGACAAATATGTCCGTGTTAAAAGCCTCTTATATACACAAAAAACACAATATAAACAAACGATCTTGGACCAGATACATGACAGGATACCACAGAACACCGCTACGCCCTCTGTGGTCCTGCCGGGCAATTACTTTGCAACACTCTCCAGGAGACGGAGAAGTAAAAGAGCAAAACGCTTCCATCAATCCGTGCGTGTCTGTCCCTTGCGGAGCTGACGGAGAAGCATAAACCAAGTCTTATCAGAGAAGAGAGAAAGCTTTATTGCCAGCGCTCCAGCGAACCAGAGCATAGGAACTTGACTCCGCAGAACAGCCTGACCAAGGTTACACACACACATGTAGACAGAACAGATACAGGCAGACCACAAGAGCAGCCATAACGGCGCTCATTTCAATTAGATGAAAAGGGCATTACATGAGGAAAGTTGGGGGAGGGAAAAAAAGGCATACCAGAGTTACTCCCGGCAGGGCGTAGCTTTACCATGCAAAAAAACGCCTCAAACATATAAGCACGAACATCACAGTTCACAACATGAGACTCCGATAGGGAGGCGGGGGGGGGGGGGGGGGGGGGCGCTGGGATCCTGTTTCCCCAGCGGGAGCAGCCCTGTATGGCGCTCAGCCAACTGTAGCCACAGGTGGGAGGGAGATCTTGGGAGGAGCGCAGAGTACATTGATTCCTGCAGGCTGATGACCTTGCTAGGCAGAAGTCCACAATCCGAAGAAAACTGCAAAAATCTTGACCTTCATACCTTCATCACAAATGGTTGTTTTTATTTTTTATTTTTGGGTGATATCTTACATAAATAATACACTTTAATGTTTCATTTGCTGAAGCACACGCACACACACACACACACACACACACACACACACACACACACACACACACACACACACACACACACACACACACACACACACACACACACACACACCACATGAAAATATCAACAGTGGTATAAGTTTCAGCTGCTGATGGTGACCAACCAAACTAAACTGGTTGGAGACAAAAGAGAATTTAAAACAGGACAAACCAACAATAAATAATAAACAAATACGGACTCTTAAGTGCTGCAATTGATTTGGAAAGACATTTACATAAATACTATTATAAACACTTATTGTAGCTACAGTTTGTCATCAAACTTCATTTATCACATTTAACATCTTAACTTACAGTCATGTCACCTGTTGCACCTGAACTTCTGACAAATGAGTCTGTTGCCAACCTGCCTCCATCCAAAGCCATCAGCAGTGGGTCGACGGACATCTTCAGGTAAGAATGGCTGGAGCCACTTCTGTTACGTTTTCATCCTTAATGTCTCTGCGGTACTAAGACAGGTGTTGGGTCTGCCTGTGTTTCAGTGGTTACCTGTTAGTGACGATCTCTTCTTTAACCATTGCTGTTGTCTTCACCATCTTGGCTTTGTATTCCTTTGGGATGTGGAAAAAGAAGGGTAGGAAGGATAATTTCTTTATATTATTACATCTTAATACTATAAATTAATTAGTTGCATTTAATGAATATTATATTGCGTGTCTCCAATCGTTCTGATGTCTGTTTCTAGAGCGAAACTCTTCACCAAGTGAAGCTGAAAGAATGAAAGCGAAGTTCAGTGTAAGTCTCTGAAGATGTCACTTTTAATCAAAGCTCTTTAATGCATCAATTTTAAACATATTCTTAGTGATTATAGTACTGACACTTGTTTCCTGTCTCCTGAAGGGCTTTTCCGGGGGAAGTGCTTCTGTCATTTTCCTTCACAATGATGCCCAGGATGTGTAGTGAGATCAGTCGGAGTTATTCCCAGTGACTGAATGTAATTTCTGTGTTAAGCTACTGCAGACAACATGCACTCTCTAATAAAATGTTCATTTATACTATGGCACGTAACATATCAAATATTAAACACCTGCTTTTTTATTCTGAAACAGACTGGACACACTGCCGAAAATAAATGTTAAACCGGTTCGCAGGAGTGATTTAGTTTGTTTTCTCAGAAAAAGTCAGTGAAAAGAAAGGATGCCATATGTCATGCACAGCAAAGTGAGGCCATTTAAAGTTATTTTATTCATTACCATCATAACAACATTATATATCTATTTATCTGTATTTTATTCTGGAAAATTAACTCCTCAAACTTTATGTTCGAGGGCTCCAAATCTTTATCTTTTCCTGTTTTGTTTTGCAGAAAAATATTATGTGCTAGTTGAAATGTTGGCGGCAATGCTGTTATCCAGATTAAGCACAACAATGTTTCTTTTTAAACATAATTTTATAATTTTGAAAAAGAAGAAGTATTTTTAAATAGTCCCTCTCAAGTTAAAAAATCATGAGGCGCTTCACAAGAAAAAAAAAGAAGATTTAAAACATAAAAAGGCAAAAATTTGAAGAAGAAAAAAACTGAAAATGAGAAGTTCAAAAATAAATAAGAAAAAAGGCAATACAGGATCCAGAGAAAGGCAGACACTGGTGGAGGTAGTAGCATGAGAAGAAGTTAGTGATGAAGAATCTACCAAAGGTCATACAACAACCAGCTTGAACAGGTGAGTCTTCAGCTGCTTTTTAAAGGAGACCACTGAGTCCACTGATCTCAGGCTCAGGGGGAGAGAGGTCCAGAGTCTGGGGGCCACAGCAGCAAATGATCTGTCACCTTTGCTCTTTAGCCTGGTGCTGCACAACCAGTAGGCTTTGGTCACTGGACCTCAGGGACCTGCTGGGGGTGTAGGGACTAAAGCCCAATATCAATACTCGCACTTCCACCCTTGCGCCCTTCAATTGCGCGATCCTGACCAGGGGTGCGAGTGTGTAGGGTGTCCCAATTCTCAAGTGCTGAAGTTGATCACACCCCTTTTGCACCCTTGATCCGCACTTCACCCAAGTCCGCATCGTTGCACAATCATTTGCTGCAGGAGAAAAGGCTCAAGTTCCTTCTCTGACAAATATGTATTTTCTAATGAAATTAGCTAATTTTAGGATGATTGATTGATGCTCTGAATGTTTTAGGCAAAGCAGCAACAAATTTAAATTTATTTCAAATAACTGGTTGTTTGTTTGAAAGTTGTTAATAAGGTTTTTGAAAAAATATCACAGCGACCAGCATCCCGGCATGCGTTGTGATCGATGGCGCAATGTGTACACTTGTGTACTAGGCTCTTGAAGCCTTACTGCACACTTTCTCCAAGTGCACTTTGCTGAAGACCGCAGGGCAAGTATTGGGATTGGGCCTAAGAAGATCACCAATGTATGATGGTGCTTGTCCATGTAAGGCCCTAAAGACCAGAACCAGGATCTTTTGAACAGTAGCTTGCATAAATGAAGCTCTGGCAACAGTTTAAATGCTCAAAACTCAGTATTTGAATGTGAAGCCATAAAAAAGTCAGGCACCTTGAAAAAGACAAAAAAAAGGTCTTTGAAGATTTGCTAACACAGCGGGGATAGTTGTTGTAAGAGAAAACTCTTCAGCTAATCACACACGTGCACAGGGGCGGCGTTAGGCCCGGCTACTTGGGTTCAAGCCCCGGATGTTTCATGAAAAGCCCCGGACTTAAATCGCAGAAGTAACATGCAGTACCAAAGTCCAACAGAGAGGGAGCAGTAGTTTGTATACAGCCTGCCTGAGCCTCCACCACTGAAGAAGAAGCCCTTCAGCAGCCGGCTTCTTCTACACTCTGCCTGAAACGCATGAGTGAAGATGGACATAAGGATGTTTTTTAGACAAAAAGTGCCGCAACAGAACCCCAGCTTTGATGAGACTGGTGTTGACTCAGGTTTGTGAGTCTTATTTGAAAATATTTGTTGTGCTGCTGGTTTACCTAACGTTAGCTTACTATCAGGTAAAGTTGTTGGAGAAAGAAAGGGAATATTTACTATCATCTCACACTAAACACTAACAGGAACAGTACTCTGCCCTGAAAATGCTTAATATGTAACTTCAGATAAAAAATTATGTGGTGCAAGACATATATGATGTTGACTAGTGTGTGCGCATGTGTGTGTGTGCGCGCGCGTGCGTGTGTGTGTGTTAAGCCCCGGATCGTCTTCAGTCCTAAATCCGCCCCTGCACGTGCACACACATGCATGTTAAAAGGTGTCTGTATTTAACTAACAGTGAGAACACATTCTGTTCATACTTCTGCTTTTGTTTTTGAACTACAAGTTTATTAGGCTGGTCCGAGTTTACTGGATTTAAAAACAATGTCTTGCGAAAATTCTCTGTGCATCAATGGAATGACCTGATGATGATTTGAATTGAAACAATTGTGTTATTTTTTTCTTGTTTTTGATCTCCTACTTTAAAATCACAAACAACCAAAGTAGACAACTACCAGCCTCTTCACTTCTGCAGAGATCAGTTGGAAGAAGACTTTCATGAAAACCAGCTGTTTCACAAACAGCCAGGCTCCACTGTTAAAGTGGCTTAAATATGCCTCGCACAGATGGAGAAGAGAGTCCGCTGACCCCAATCTATGGAAGCTCCAACAAGTGTCCTTGCAGGAGGAGACGCTGGCTGAGTCTATTAAACATATTTTCTTTTGCATCCTGGATGGCTCGAAGAGTCGGTTTTTAACTTGATGAAAACGTGTAGCAGAAGAATTTCCTCAGAGTTCTGTTTAGAATGAAAATGTCCATCTGAGAACATATCTGAGTCACTTCTAAATACAGAACATGTTAAAAGATCTTTCCTCCTTTTTCAGTAATAAGAACCATAAATGTAGCTTTGACTTTGGAGGTGGGCAGGACATAACATAAAGCACACGATCTTTCCAATCTCATATCAATAGCATCACACGGTCAGCTTATTTCCATCTCGTCTTCGCCCCTCCCTTGATGTCCACTCTACTTCTATTCTTGTCCATTGTCTGGTTACATCACGTATCGATTATTGCAACTCTCTTCTCTCAGGCCTCCCTCAGAAAACCCTCCGTAAGCTCCAGTTGGTTCAGAATGCAGCAGCACGCGTCGTCACTAAAACTCCCATCTCTCATCACATCACCCCCATCCTCAGACAGCTCCATTGGCTACCAGTGCACACCAGGATTAACTACAAGATTCTCCTTCTCACCTTCAAGGCCATCCATAACCTCGCCCCTCACTACCACAGATCTTGTTCACATCGTCACCTCGTCCCGTTCCCTCAGGTCCTCCTCCTCCATTCATCTCTCTGTGCCCTCCTTCCGTCTCAGCACCATGGGGAGTAGAGCCTTCAGCTGCACCGCTCCCAAACTCTGGAACTCCCTTCCCCCTCTCATCAAGAACATTAACTCCTTCACAAGATTCAAAAAACAACTCAAAACTCACTTCTTCATTACCACATATCAACTTTGAATTTTAGAATGCCTTGTTTGCTGATGTTTACGTATGTTTACTTTGTTTTATTGAATAATTTGTGTTTTTATTCTGTACAGTGTCCTTGAGTGACCAGAAAGGCATTTTTAAATAAAATGTATTATTATTATTATTATTATTATAACTGGCATGAGGGCCAGGGGTGGGTTGGGGGTGGAGGGGGGATCTTTGCAGTAAGAATACAACAATTATGTATAAAACTACAGTCTAGAGGCTCTTTTAGGCAATGTCAAGAATGCAGAACTGTCAAGTACACAGGTGGTAGGAACGGCCAGTCACACTTTAGCAAGTATCGGCAGAGCCAACAGATGAGCTTATGGACTGTTCTGATGAGAAACAGGGTTCAACACAAGTGGTTGTTTTCAGCTTGGTCCTAGTGCTCCACCAGTGTCTATTTAAAATAACGTAATATAGTTTTGGGCAGATAAAAGTGCAGGGGACAAAAATTTACTTTGGAAAAAGTGTGTGTGTGTGTGTGTGTGTGTGGGGGGGGGGGGCATCCCCCCTGTCCCCACCCAGAACTACGTCCATGATAAGAACCAAAATACCTCTGCCGGCTGCTGGTTCTGGCCCCCCGGGGCGATTCTCGGTGCCTCGCTCGGGGGGCGGGGGGCTTTCTGGTTGCAGTCTCCTTGGGGTTCCTGTGTTCTGGGGCAGTGCCTGGATCTCTGGGACTTGGAGCTCCCTCCGTGTACTACACATCTCTGGGGGGCAGATCTGTGGTCCCTCAAAATCTCTATTGGACGCTTTAATAGAGAAACCTTACATAAACAAGGGCGTGTACACACACAGGTGCTCACACGGTGCTCTCAAAAGTATGGGCTTGGGCACGTTCAACACATGTCTTAAGGCTGTCGTTGCCACTAAATGCACTATGATTTATTATCGTGTGATTGTTCAGTTTAAGAATGTTGATTTTATATTTCATCATCAGGCTGACGCAGTGATGGCTTGCTCCTGATGTATTGTTGTGTGTCCCATTTTTTTCTATTCTTTCTCTTTCTGCAGGTCTAGAAGCAGACTCTTGTTCATTAGTGTTTATTTTTGTGGAACCACCACCTCACCCCCTTCCCCCCTCTCTCCCCACCTTTTGTCCTCTCCTTTCTCTTTCACCTCTGTCTCCGTGTCTGGTTGGAATTACAAAGCATTCAAAAACAACAACAATAAAGTTTTAAGTATCAGGCGTGACAATAAATGCAGATGCTTTGATGCTCCACCTGAGAGTAAATCTGTAAGGCTTGTCACCAGCATTCAGACATCAATTCTGTTTGCTTCACAGCCAGACAGGACACGGGAAAAAAAAATAAATAAAAATAAAAATATATTGTGTGTTTGTAACAGAAAAAAGAGACAACACTTTCTATTGTGTGAATACATAATTGAAAATGAACAGATCCTGTGTGTGGGCGTTCAGCAACATCATTTTCATTTATGTTTGGTCTGATAACTCAACATTCTTTATTTACTTAATGAATGCAAGAAAATGTATGTTTTTTTTTCCTCCAACACAAAAAAAAATCTGTGAATCTCTGATCTCTTTGAGGACATTTCCCTGCCTAATTTAATGGAGTTCTGATTAAATATGAAATTATCACAAATGATTCTGCTTGAAGAATAATGAA